CTGAACACGTGGCAGCTGATGGCACGGTTTAAATGAGACACAACCTGCATGGAATGTGACATGTTCATGTCTCTTTCCGCATGTCCAGAATCATTTTAAAATCTTTTCTGTAAGTCTGTTTGATATAGGGCACTGAAACAACACACTATAGAAACAATTAACCACTGGTGATGTCTGCCCATCTCGAGTCAAAAAATGTCCAAATGAACCTGGTAATGGCATGAAATATCAGAAACCTTGGAGCCACACTACTCCCTCCCAATATATCAGCCTGAAAAGCGAGATGAGCGCCCTACCCTATAGTCGCTTTTGATTGGACTTAACTGTCCAGGGGTCCTTTACTCACATAAATAGTAGTGCAATCTGAACAGAACAATAATTTGACATAAATGATATGCAGTCACTGTGTATCCTAAATAATGGAGACTTTATTCATGAGATCCACTGCATTTGATTTGGACTGTATTAGTTTTGTTCACCAGCACTGCCTGTTTTCCAGCTGATTATTATTTCAGGCAGGTATTAAACTCATGGTAAAAGCCTGCTAAGAAGCTGACAGGATGCTAACCATTAAGTTTTCTGTTAGTCTGGTTGCCTTTTTATGCTTTAGCAAGTTTCTTGAAATATCTGTGCTTCCTAACCCTTCTGAGACAGATTAGTTGACACACATCATTTTCTTTTGTGGCTTCTGTACATTACAAAATTGCTGGTTTTCTACAGATTCCACCCCCACCCCCATAAAAGGCAATAAGGATTCATGTGTATTTTCCCATTTACAAGTGGAATAAATGCTCGTTATTATTTCCAGTCCTGTCTTTCAGGTCCAGCCTCTAAGCTCCTCAAAGCAACCCTGAGTGAAGGAGGCTAAGAAGCATTGATCCAAGTCAGCCATTACAATCACGGCTCAATATACTGTGGTTTGTGAAGCTGAGATTGTGGCATCTGCATCAGGTCTGTGACTTGCCTGAGGCCATTCAGTGAGCTTTACAGCAAGATGGAAGAATTAGACTCTCAGCTTCCCACAGCCAAGCCCCACTCTCTAGTCACTAAACCACCTCTAGGTTGTGGCTTCTGTTGTCTTGATTTTACAAACAAGAGAGATAGTAAACTACTAAATCTGTCCCTGTCCCTGTTCAGATTAGGGATGGGAAGAATCTATTTCTGATCCACACAACTTCTGCTTGTGTTCACCCATCAGTAGATTTTATCCTGCTTTCGCATTAATCTGTAATAACGAAATATGCACAAAATGCCCATTTAAATACATGTCGGTACATATTTTCTTTCAAAATACACATTATTGTTTGAACTTTTGGTTTGTGCAAAAGCAACTGGATAATTAAGTTATGATCTGCACATTAGTCCAGGAGATGCACATCAGAGTTTGTAACATCCCTGCTTCAGCCTGCTGTTGAGGCTGACAGGAGTGAATACTCCACACAAAAGAATTTCCTGCATATAGAAAACCTGGCAGGGAAAGGGAAAGGCTTGGAGAGAACCCATTTGGCTGCCCCTGCTTTATCTGCTGAAGGTCTAGGCAGCTATGTAATTAAAGGTGGCTGTAGAAAAATCACTATTTAGATTCTAAATTGAATAGTATACCTTTATTAAATTTAACGGATTGTCAAATGATTCTATATCTTTGATGTGCTGTTATGGGTTTCCAAATTACACCACATTGTTGCAGGTGTCCTGGGACCTTGAAATAATTGTAAACAGTCAAGGGCCAGGATAGTCAGGGGACATTTGCTATTTATGTACGTGACATATTCAGTTTTATATCTGTATGAGGCATTTGGCATATGAGCGTTCCACACAGAACTATTTTTAAAAATGGAATGAAGAACCCCAAAGAGAATAGCCACAACTGTAACTGACAAATGCACACTCCTAAAACTGAAATACTTCCCCATAGTAGTTTGTTTCTGAAGCTGTTCTTTACAAATAGGTTTCAGCACAAACTAAGCTGAAGGGTGATCTTACTTAGGAGTCCCTAAGTTCCTCCTAAGTACCTCCTGATCTCAGTTCCAATCCCTCTATCTCAAATCCTAAGATGCAAGGGGGAGACAACAGATGGTCTCTCAGACAATTTGTTCCAATGTTATTTAAGGACTCTCATTTATTGAGTGCCGGATAGCCTGTGCAATTTGCAGTGAATGAGACAGGAGTCTTGCCACGCATTTGAGCAATAGGATAGTCCCACTTGTGAAAGCAGACTGAGTGCCAAACAAGTACAGTAGCAAAAATGTAGACCAACATTTTATTAACTTTTTATGCTGTTTAATTTGTTATTGTTTGTTGACACACAAAAGTAAATGCACTTTTATTTAATTTTCTTAAAACTGATAAATCAAAAGGGGCTGCAGCTTATTGTTAGAGGATCTGCTTTGCATGCAGAAGGTCCCAAGTTCAACCCCAGGATTCTCTAGGTAGGGCTGGGGAATGACTCCTGCCTGATATGCTGGGAAGTTGCTTCCAGTCACTGTAGACAATCCAGAGATAGATGGACCAATGAGCTGACTCTGCATAAGGCTGCTTCCTATGTTCCCAAATATCTTAAAGAACTTGAGGCAAAATAGACAAACATTCAATGTTTTCTTCAATATCAACATGTTTAAGAACAAGAAATCCAAGAGACTATCCTGATTTCATAGTTGTTGAATTATGAGGCAGACTGTCCTTCACTGCAGGTTTTAAAGCAGAGGTTGGATGGCCATCTGCCATTGCTTTAGTTGAGATTCAACCCTCAGGGTCCCTTCCAACTCTACAGTTCTATGATTCTAGGCCTCCAGAGAAAGGTAGGTAAATATGGTGAAGGGAGTGACTGATGGGGAATTTGTGCAGTTGGAAAATCAGCTTTAAAAAAACCCCTGTGACTGGCAACTGATGCCTCTTGCTCCTTTGGCTGATGGATGGGACCAGAGAGGCCCTTCTTCTTGCTTCTGCAGGGCAACTAGCAGTTGGGCGTGTTTTTTATGACAAGTCCTCCTTTGGCCTACTGATTGGGCTAGGTTGGTCTCCATCTTGCTGTGATGCTGTTGCTAGAAGGCAGGGGGAGTGGCCTCCCAGTGCCCTTGTCCTTAGCTAATGGCAGAGGGTGCTGTCCTCAGGTTCTTATTAATAAATGTATAGAAGAGAAATTTTCAGCAGGTGCAGCATTTCCTGTCCAAGTAGTGCAGCAGTAAATACTATAGCTTCTAAGCTATTAAAAGCCCTGGAGCCAATACTATAATCCCGCCAAAAGGAAATAAAAAAGGTAGTGTATAAATGGAACAGTTCAGGCTATTTTTTCATAAACAGTTACCCATCATCATGGAGATCACAGTATACAAATGCATCAATTTCCTGACACAATCTTGCTAGTGTGGCAAAATTCCAAACTCCACTCTCACCACTTAAAGGCATCTGTTAGTACTGAGAAGCAAAGAGTATTGATTTACATGTCTATGGCTGAAAAACTGAATTCTGCTCTATCTTTGACTTCTCATTTGTTCTCTCAGTGGGAGCTGAGGTTTATCTCTACTGCACCACTCACAGAGATTACCTGCCTCGTCAACTGCTATTAATTGGTGATCATATTTGAGCGAGCACATGAGTTGTCCTTTAAAGAAGGCATAAGGCATGAGAAACCACACGGGAAATTGGACTTAACCAGTGGGCTGCAGCAAATTACAGGGATACTGGTTTCAAAGGAACGGAAGGGTCAAAACAAAAATTTATTCCTAAAATTAAATGCCAGTTATGTTTAGAATTAAATAATTACTTGCTGGGTCTTCTTTTCTAAACAATTTGGGAACCACCCTTCTTTTAACAAGTTGAAAATTGAGGATATGGCATAAAAGAAGGCCACGGATGCAAAGCCATAGCAAGGACAGCAAAGACATGTTAAACCTTAGGGGGTTATGTCAGATTCAGCATCTCCATTAACAACTTTTGAGGGAAGGAGAGTTCTGTTGGTGGAACCTCACTGAGGTGCAGATATGACAGAAGCAAGGAATCCTGTCTCTGTTCCAGAGTTCTTAATTGTTGCAGTAATCCAAGAAAGAATCCGAAGTAGGATTGCTTGAGCAAAACAGACTAAAGTTGTTTGGCTGCACAAGACTGCAGCCTGCAGCACAGTTGAACAAGTCTCTGCACAGCTTCCATAATTTGATGAGACGCTGCATACACAACACTAATGTGGGCTCTTGAGACCACTACACAAGCTTTTGAGCTGCAGGGTGTCTATGATTAGATCTTAATCACATCTCCTTGAATGGCAGAATTAGGAACGCTTCACACATTTGTTTGAAATATGGCATAGCAACTCTTTCTCTTCCATCATGCAGAGGTGCTCAGGTGTGAAGAACACTGCACACATGCATTATAAGTGGTCATTTAGTAAATACACTCTCCCAGAATGTGTAAACAAGACCCATCCTGTGTGTATGTGGCTTTAAAGAGAAGCTCACAGCTGCTATTCCTAACATTCCAATAATGAAGCTTCAAAAAGTTGTTTTCCCCTTCTGAAACAGCTGCTATTTGCATACTTGTTTCCAGGCACTGTTACAACAACACAAACTGAACCTCTTTCCATAATTTGGACTGCTATGCCTCTCCAGGGCTAATACACTTAAAAAAGTTGTATTACATACAGGCTAATATTTAAGAGGTCAAGCCTCTCCCTCCTGCCAGAAGAAATGGGCTGAGGAGAGAGGTGTGAAGGTATTACACCTCACCCAGGGAATTTTTAAAAAGGTGTTTTTTTCCAGAAGACTTTTTGCAAATGTTTCCATTTTAAAAACTGACATATTTTGAAGGACACTGGAAAAAAACCTCTATTAAGTATGTTTTATTTTAAGATGTACAGCATTAGTGCGCTGGCAAATACAGCACTTCAATTCAATATGAATTTCTGTATTATGGTTGCAGTAATCTTCATTAGAGGAACATGCAGGGCCTCTGTCGCTTGTGAATTGCTGCCTGCGTCTCCTAGTCACCTTTGGTTTAGTCTGTAGATACTAGTAGCAATCATCCTGTTTCTGCTGCCCTTCTGACCTGTTCCCTCCTTTGTGGTCAACCTTTTCACCTTGCCCCTTGAAGGACACAGACACAGTGCTGCAGAATGGGAAACAAACAAGCAGCTTCTTGCTTTGTTTCACTGGGGATAAAAAAAGGTCAAAAGGCAGTGGGGCAGAAACTGCAAATAGGAGTGTGAGCTTTAACCAAGACCCACAGAAGGAAGTGGACTGTGTGGATAATATTGTAATCTTACTTGGTACATCTATAGTCTTAAATTTAATAAATATGCCAAAGGGGATAATTTTATTCTACCCTAGCTTTGGAACAATACAGTTTATTTTGCTAAAGCAGTAACATACGTTTGGGCTTGGTAAGTATTGCATATATGTTTGTGGAATGCTCTCCCCAGGGAGACTCACCTGGCGCCTGTGTTACATATTTTTAGGTGCCAGGCAAAAACATCCCTCTTTTCGCAGGCCTTTCGCTGATCCTATATATATATATATATATATATACACACACCCTGCCCATCTGGCTGGGTTATATTTATATATAAATATGTAAAACACACACACACACACACACACAATTTCTCAATTTTTCTGTTTTGTGTGCATGAAAAAGCTGTGCTGGGAGAAGGGGAAATGGGTTTTATTCCACACAGCTTTAAAATTTTCTGGAAATGTTGCATCTCCAGAGGAGCGGTGGGGAAGAGAGAAGACAAAAGTTAGTAACTGACTGCTTACACAAGAGTAAGCTCTACTGGTTGAACAGGGTTTCCTTGCAAGTAAAGATGAACAAGACTGGGCTGCTGAAGTTTCTTGCGTACTCCCCCCTCTCCGTCCCGCCACTAGGGACCCAAAAGCCAACAACGATGACCTTTCCCGGAAGAAAAACACAAGCAGCAGACTAACCCAACCTCACAACCCCCGAAAGCTGCCGGGTGGGATTCTTGCCCTCCTCGCGCCCCCCTGAGCTCCCACCTCAAAACAAACCAACGAAAAAGTCCTGATCGCAACTCGTCATTGGCTGCCCGCTCGTCCCGCCTCCGCTGCCGTAGACCCAATCGCGTCCGCCGCACCACACCCCGCCCTTGACCCCCTCGCGTTGGGCAAATCCTGGTGTCACTCGCCCGGTCCTCCAGAGGTCGCGTCGCTTGGCTTCCAGCTCGTCCCGCCCAACAGAATGCAATTCGCTTTAACCACCGCCGCCTCCCGCCCCGCCGCCTCTCCGATTGGCTGCTGCGCTCCTGTCAGTTACCCTCCGGCCGGCGTCCTCCAACGGCCGTTCCAACCGCCTTCCTGCTCCTGCTCCTCCACCTCCTCCCCTCCCCTCGCCGCTGGCCCCGCCCCCTCCTCCGAGTCGGAACTCGGCTGCCCTTAACAGCGCGCTCGCTTCCAGCAAGTTGCGCGCCGCTTCTCGAGTGGAAGCCTCCGCGCCCCTCCCTCCCCCGCTGTTACGTTGCGCGCGGCCTCTGAGGAGAAGGAGGAAGAGGAGAAGCGGCGGCGGCGGCGGCGGCGGGCGCTGGCGTGACAAGATGTTGGCGGAAGAGGCGCCGGGGGCTCCCGACGGTGGCTGAAGAGGAGGCTGCGCGGCCCTGGCCTCTCTCCCTCCCCTTCCCGCTCCGCCGCCGTCCTTCCCTCAGGAGTCGCCGAGGAACCCCGGCTCATGACAGCGAGCGCCTGGCGGGGCGGCCCAGGCGACAGCGAGCCTGGCTGAGGCGGCGGGTGGCGGGAGAACAGCGCCTCCTTCCTCCTCACGAGACCGCGCGCCGCCAAAGTTTGCCGCTCGCGGGCGGGCGGCGAAGAGACGTCGCTGGCGGGAGGAAGAATAAAAGTTTCCTGCTCTGTTTTTCTCCTTCGGAGGCTCGGCTGATTTGGAGGACGCAGCGGGGGCGGGTCTTTGCTGCGTGCCGCCCCCCCCTTGGTTTAACCCTCATTTGGTCTCTTCCTCGGAAAAGTATCCATTATTTGGAAACCCCTTTTTCCTTTGGGGTATCGGATTAAGTGTATCCCCTCCCTTCTCAAGGGTATCGGATTAAGAGCCGCCTTTCTTTGAGGTGTTGGATAAACAGCCTCTCCCCCTTTGGAAGGTGTTTGGATTCTTCCCCCTTTCTTGGGTTGGTTTTCTTTTTTTTGGACTTGGAAGAACCGCCCCCCCCCCCGCGGCCCCTATTCCCTGGTGCACTGGATTAAGTGTCTTCCTCCTTCCTTGGCTGGTGGTGTCTTCTCGCCCGCCGCCGCTTGCTCTGCCTTCCTCCCTCCCCCCGCCCCTCCGGCGTGATTATATGCTTCAAGGGAGAGGCGATCCCCCCTCGTGCCTCCTCCTTTCCCAGCCATGTCGGCGACGGCGATCTCCGCCGCGGAGAAAGTGGACGGCTTCACGCGGAGGTCGGTGCGCAAGGCTCAGAAGCAGAAGCGGTCGCAGGGGTCTTCGCAGTTCCGCACCCAAAGCAGCCCCGTGGAGCTCTTCCCGCTGCCCCAGCTCAAAGGTAATGTATCAATTATACCGCATGTATCTCCTAGGGAGGAATCGAGCGAGCTGCAGCTCACTTAGCCCCGGGCTACAGGTGCTGCCTTCTGCGGGAAGAGACTTCCTCCCGCCTCTCGCCGCCGCCTACGTGCTGCTTGCTTCCTTGTGCCAACCCTCTAAATTTCGCGGCAGCCCGTTTCACTGCCCTCTGTTACTCCATGTTAAGGCGCAACTCTTGTTCCGAAACTTCCTCTCCGCAGCCTTGTTAGAACTCTACCTTTTATCCCTTTCCCCTGCGAAATATACTGCCACAGGTTCGCATTTCAACAGCTTTCAGGGGATTAGGTGCTTTCCTGTTTTGAAGACCTTACACTTTTAAGGGCCTTGTTCCCTGAGCTGCTAGAATTTCATGCTTTCCTGCCCTGCCTTAAGGAGTTGGCCATGCAAAATGTTGGCTTGATGCATTTGTGGGTAGTACCAGGGACAAAAGAGGACCCCCAGGCCAACTCCAGCTGGGAGCACCAAGGTTTATGGCATAATCTGCAGAACTTGCTCAGAAACAAGGCCTTCATAAATTTTAACCTGTCCTCCCCTTCCTCATTCTTCTCTGGGTTTTGTGTAATCTCCTCCAGGGGCTGTTACTGCTGTTTAAATTAGTGTACAAAGTATCCTTCCCTTTAAAACTGTGGTACTGTGTTACTTTCACCCCCTGGAATTAAAGAGTGCTCACATGATTAGTTAGGCTCCCAGAAGCTCATAGTAGTAGTGTTTAGCAAGTGTGCATTTCTGTGAATTTCTTTATCCTCTTTTCTGGGCTTGTCAGGCCTATGACAATCCAAACTCCATTTTTACCAACTCTGATGCTAATTTGAAGTACTGGAATTCTTACGTGCAATTTAACACTTTTTTTTTGGCTGTCTAAAAAAGTTTTTCACATTTTTTAAAAAAGTGGGGAGAGGATGAAAAAAATGATAGTTTGAGCTGACAGGGGTTAGGACTGACATTTTTGTAGGGTAGTGTAATGAGTTCTGTTTGTTTTTTAATACTGCTAATATGAGCAGTACTGAGACTCTTGCACTGCACTAGCATGTCTAGAAAATGAAGAAAATACCACGTCTTTTGAAGGGATATTTGACCATCCAAAGATGTGACACATTCTGGCAGAGTACACTACGTTTCAAATAGTGTCTTGAGCAGGTGGTGCTAACTTAATTATTTTCTAGTAGTTGAGCGGGAAGCCCTTTAAAACGCAGAAGAGAGGCCCCTGTGTTTTAATCAACTTGTTTTTATTATTGGTTGTTAGCTGCCCTGAGCCCAGTCTTGGCTGGGGAGGGCGGGGTATAAATAAAATTTATTATTATTTTTATTATTCTTTACCTTTCTCTCTCCACATCAGGTGTGGGAAACCTGAGGTTCTTCAGATGTTGCTGGACTAAAATGCTCATCAGTCCCAGCCAGCCATGGTCAGGGTTGTTGGAAATTATAGTTCTACAACATCTGGAAGGTTACATGTTCCTCATCCTAATTCTACTTTTTCTACCAACTGGAATATGTTTTTGGATGGCAAGAAGTAGGGTGAATGAATTGAAGTAGGAGGGGGAATAGGACTAGCCAAAGCAAGTTTCTCACATTATCTGTGTATATACCGCATGCCCATCAAAAAACGATGACTTATAAGGCAGGTTCTGAAACTTCAGTTGGTGATGTTTTCCAGCTGAAATAATTTCTAAGGTAAAATTTCTACTAAACTAGAAATTATTGGAAGGTAGAAATACCTGCAAATTGGATACCAATTTATATAATTAGCATACACAATATATAGGAAATGTATTTATTCTTTTGTTTCAAGTAGTATACCACCTTTCATAAAAATATCTGAAAGTGGTCCAGAATAAGACATTAAAATACAATAAAAACAGAAGCAATGAACTCAGGATAAACTAAGCATGTTGATAGTGATGGTAAGTAAAAGTCCCCAAAAGATATTCCAACAATATCAAGTCCTAACAACTTGGGCCCAAAGTATGTGAGGTATTGTCTACTTCCATATCAACTTATCTGAGTAAGATCACCCAGGGAGGCTCTGCTCATGGTGACATTGCCAAAAAAAGGTTTGAGGGCAACGGTGCATCGTAGGGCCTTTTCAGTGGTAGCCCATGCATTGTGGAGTGCTCTCACTAAGGTGCATCTTACATTGATACTGTATAACTTTTTTATCATGTCAACGTGTACTTCTTTGCCCAGACTTTTGGTGGGGTGAGGTGTTGTTTTGTCAAATTCCTCTAATTTTGAGTGGTGCTGTTTTATTGTACAGATAGCCCCCATTTATGCGGAGTTACGTTCTGCGACACTGCACACATAAGTGAAATCTCATATAATTGAAACCCTTTGAAAAAGCCTACAAATACCCTGTTCTGTCCCCCACGGCCTTTAAGAGACATTTCAGTGATGTCTTTATGATGTTTTCGGGTCGCTTCTGCGTTCGGCGTGTATACAAGGTCGCACACATATTCAATTCACATAAATGGGGGCTGCCTGTATTTTTTGTGGATTTAAGTATTGTATTTTTTAATTGTATGTAACCCAACTGGGGACTTTTGAGTGAAGGGTGGGTAAGAAAATGGGTGTGGAGAGAGATAGTGAGGGAAGGAAAGAGAGAAGCAAGTACCATAGCAAGAATATAGTGCCATGTAGTCCATTAAAGTTGTCTATTATGTGGCAAATACTTGGAAACATTATGACATGATACCCCAAATAAGTGCAAGAAAGTAAAGTAGCATACATTGGAACCTCAAGTTGTGGACGTAATTTGTCCCGGAGGCACGTCCGCAACTCGAAGCGTTCGCATCCAGAAGCGCTGCTTGTGCGCATTCGCACGGCACGATTTAGCGCTTCTGCACATGTGTGAGCAGCGAAACCCGGAAGTAACTGTTCCAGTACTTCCGGGTTGCCGCAGGACGCAACTTGAAAAGACGTAACCTGAAGCGGGCACAACGTGAGGTATGACTGTACTCAGTCTTCTATATATTACTAATGGTAACTACCCTTATTTCTTTTCCACATACCCAGCACATAGATACATTTTCCTGAGTTTTCTGTGAATTGTGGGGAAGATGGGACAGTCTGTCTTCACCTTAGGTCTTGGCAACCTTTATTTCACTGTTTTCTGCAGGTCAGAGAGAAGAGGGTGTCTCCTTCATTTCACATTAGACTTCTACCAAAGTAGCAAGGTGTCGCTCACAGCTTTTCCAAAAGGCCATTGGTAGGGAGATAAACCACCTTTCCTTTCTCCTTGGTTCTCTGCATGTGCCCTAAACCTCAGTAAAACAGAGAAGAGAGTAGTTGATGGTGACTTCAAGTAGTAGTTGGCAATTAAGCCTAACAAAAATTTGTAGACTACTGAGCATGCTCTACATATTGAGGAATATTTCCAGGTCTTGTGACATTGTTGTCTTCCCTTTTGTCATGCTGAAGTATGTGCTGTTTTAGGTGGTGACACTAGTTTGTGGTCTTTAAAATGCATGACAGTTAGCTGTTATTGGTTATCTTGTACAAGCTATTTGCTAAGGAGTGCCTTGCATAATCAGTTTTCATTCTCTGGAAATTGAAGGGTTGAGGGAGAATAATAGATGGATTGTCTTAAATATGCTTTTTATATACTAAGCGTTTATAAGGAATAGATTGTAAAGCAAACTGAAGGACCTTGTTCAGATATGTATGGGAAAGCCACAAGCACAACAGAACTTATCCCTTATTTTGCTGATCTGTAACTTATGTGCTACATTGCAACAAGTTCTTTAACAGGACTGTGCAACATATGACCCACTTAGCTAAATCTAATCCAACAGCTTTGTATTGTGCCCAGCAGGTGCTTTGTAACTTCCCCTGCTTTTGCAGTTCTGAGCAAATGGCAAAACTACTCGCTGTTGGACTTCATCCAGGTGGTGGACAAGGGATACTAGTTATAGTCATGTGATCAGATTTGCACTATGATGTGTGGGCACTATGGACTGGTAAAATTAAGTGGGGGGACTGCTTCATGCATTTATATTACAGGGCTTACTGAATTGGGACTATTATGATTCCATTTACAGCACTTGTTAGGTTTACCCTTATAATTTAGACTTAAAATGTTACTGCTATTTCTGGTCCTTCTTTGCTACCTATAGAATATCAAATTAAGAAAGCATGTTGCTGATTGAACATAGAAGCACATGTGCACCATGCCGCAATGTGCTGACGTTATGATATGATGATGTCACGTGATGGCGTGGTGCATGCACTCCAGCACTGCGGCGTCGACTGGACCAGGACATTGCAGTAGAGGTGCAGGTCCTGGTCCAGTCGCTGGTCCAGAGGTAAGGTGACAGTCATGGTGCCCGGCATGTGGTGCACAGAGGCAGCCATGGAAGTTATGCATGGTGGCCGTGTTGTGCGGAGGCGGCCATAGAGACAGTGGGCGGCAGGGGGTAGAGACTGGGCACCCACAGGAAAAACTGTGGGAGTCTTGGCACTCAGGGCTCCAGGAAGATGGTGCCTATGTTAGATTAAATACAATTAGGGAATTGATTTCATAAAGTACTGCACCCAGTGGTAAATCTGTAGTTAGCACCGTGGAAACATTCACATTTTCAACTCTGGAAAAGAAAAAGAACAATTTGTTTAAAACACTGAAATCAAATCTGTTTATTTTAGATTGTTTCCAAATGAGGTTGACTCCTGGTGGAAACGTATGCCCTTTATAGTGAAAGGATTGGAAGTATGCCAAAGAATTTCAAGATTTGAGAGAGGTTTTTGAGGCTCAGGTTTTTTCCAATTTAAAAACTGAGTGTCCAAATATGGATTCAAGAATTTGTGTGACAGAAGTGTTCTGTACCTCTTCTACTCTCAAGGGAGCGAATTCTGATATAATTGCAAAGCAGTTACTTTAACCATAGTTTTACAGTGGGCCAACTTTTCAAAAACTCTTATCAAATGCTGTTGTTCGATAAATCCATCTGGGCTAGATTATACTTAAAATGTAACATGAGTACAGTATTATACTAAATTTCAGTGTAACCTAGTTAACCAGATAGGCGTTTAATGATTTCTTAAAATGAGACACTCAGAGAGGATCCAGTGTAGTGCTATGGAAAGCATTGCATCAACACAAGCATATCAGCTTGCCAGATGGAACGACCCCCCCCCCCCGTGTATTGTTCTGGGGTTCTGCTGACTACTCCAAGCCACCTTGGGGCAGAATGGAAGGAGGGAGGGGGGAGAAAAGCCCCATTGTGCTAGCAGAAGTCATTACATGGCCTTTCACTAGCAAGACTTACTCTTTGAATCTCTGCTTGTGACCTCATTTGCATAACTTGGTAAGCCAAACTGTGGCTTGTAGGGACTGCGTAAATATGCAGGCTCCCAGAGAGGAGCGCTTAGTTTCTGCTCTTTTTTCATTTCCGCACTGTGGTGAGCTAAATCAAGGTTTAGCTTAGCATGTCATTTGAACCTGGGCTCCTGGCTTAGACTTGGCAGATGGCTAGGAGGCTCACTGGAGCCCCAAACCTGGCAATACAAAAGTGCCATGGGTTCATGGTTCCCTCAATTGCCTGCTTTGAATGGGGCCATACTTATCCTGAAGGACCAGGTTTGTAGTCTGGGGGTGCTGCTGGATAATCTCTGCTAGAGGCCCTCAGTAGCTAGGAGTGTGTTTTGCCAGCTTGTGCTGGTAAGATGGCTATAGACATTTCTGGACCTGGGTAGCCTGGTCAATGTGGTAACCTCCAGGTTAAACTACTGCAATGTGCTGTGTGTGGGGACTGCTCCTGGAGTTGAGCAGAAGTGCAACTAGTGTAAAACACAGCAGCTTGACTGCTCCCTGGGCAGACTTTTGCCATCACATTACACTGCTGGTTATCTACTGGGCGAAGTGCCAAATGCTTGTACTGGTGAACAGAGTGCTATACATCTTGGTACTGGAATACCTATATAAAGCTCACTCCTTTATATATGCAACCAACCAGGGTGGTGTTCTGCAGGGAGAGTTTCTTATCAGGAGGTCCATTTGTATGATGTAGGAATTGGGCATTTGGGATGTGCTCTCCCCATGGCCTTTTCAGCATCTGTTCAAGACTTTCCTTTTTAAATGAGTCTTTTAAGCACATACTTTTATCCTAATTTTGAGTACAAAAATAGTTTTTAATATGAAATTGTTTTGCATGTGTTTAAATATTAAATGATTTTGATATATTTCATGAGAAATAAAAAAATTGGAAGTTTGTTGATTTCAGCTGAGCTTCCCTATAAGTATGCTTAGGATTTCAACCAAAGGTAGTCTGGTTATGTAACATCCTACGCCTTCTGTCATATGTTCCATTCAGCATCTGCAGATCTATTCCACAAAAGGACCAGGGTCATCTTAATTGTTGCTTTATACCTTTTACAGTTTTATAGTAAGTCCTTTTAACCACAATATTGAGTGTTTTAGATACATGGGAAATGCTTGGCATTTTAGACAAGGGTTTGAAATTGAACACAGTGTGTATTTTGCTGATTTAGTTGCTGCAGTGGAGCTATCAATCTATATGTTGCTTTTATTTTGATAGACTGTGTCCCTTTATTTGTGTCCTTTTGCTTTGTTTCAGTAATGATTGGTTATTATGTTAATTGTTTTTAATGTTAGCCTCTTGATTTCTTAAGAAAACGAAGGAACATATACATTCTTAAATTTTAGAAATGTGGATCAACAACTATTGTGTTTTTAATATGTAGGCTTTTAAGGTATTTTCAGTTTTATTAACGCAGCTTTCACATAGCATTGCAAAGTTTCCATGTCTTCTAAACAAAGATACTATTCATAGCTTAAGTTCTTCAAGATGTGACCTCCTTAGAATGTCTAATTTTAAAAAAATACACTTTCATGAACAGTAATTGCTAAATATAGTGTCCATTGACAGTCTTCACATGCAGAACCTTTCTATTTTAATCTTCAGCATCTTTGTGCCAGCATAGTATTGAATTTCTTTTTCCATGTTTATTGCATTCAAGTTGAGTCAGATTCTAGTTGTGCAGGTGTTAAATTGAATAAACTTATTTATTTGAATATGAGGGAAATATTAAATATTGCTGAAGGTTAATTGACTTTATCTGGTCTGAAGTCTATTCATTTATAATATTTTAAACCTGCCTTTCATAGATAAAAACCTATTGGGGGGGGGGGAATCCAGTCCAACCTACTGATTTTTAAAGGTTTTTGTTTGCAAATCTGTTGTCCATTTATCAGCAGATCTTTGAGGCCTAGTTCACACAGTATTCCATGTTATAGAGGCTTCCTGCTGGCTAAAGCAATAATTGGTTCTGACATTTTCTATACATGCTATGAGTGTTCCTGTTCCATCCCTCTCCAGATGTTAATTATAAGTGGAGATCTTATCCTCTGGGCTTACATGTATTCATCTTTGGAAGTTCAGTCTTGTGCAGTATAGAAGGAATCTAAACAAAATACCTAATGATATTGGTTGCAATTCATATATTCAGCAGGGGGAAATGCTGCATGTGTGGTATTACAATAATGTGACCTCTTCTCTTCCCTTGTACAACAGAGTACACAAGAGGACTTAAGAGAGTTCAGCAGAATGTCAGTTTATTATTTCTAATAATTTGTAATATTTGTTACTATAATTATCATAGCTATCACCTTGTTTATATATTTATATTTTATTTATGTGCTGGGTGTTGTACAAAAGTAAAAAACCCAGATCTTTGCCTGCCAATTCACAATGGGGGAAAAGGCAGAGGGAGATACAAGGGGAGGGATGTTAAAAGAAGAGGGGAAACTTGAACAAATTGGGAGAGAAGAGATCTTGTTTGTTTCTGAAGCAGTGCACTGCCTAGGGATCCCTCTTCTTAGTTGAAGGTGGCAAACAGATGGAGTGATGTGTTGAAAGCCCAACCTAATGAGTGCATGGGTTTAAACTTAGGGCAATACACAGCACTGTTTCCCACTCCCTTCATTGTTGGTTAATACTGTCTCTCATGAAGCAGTTCACTGTGGGGTGAGATTTTATTTTTCTTGAAACAGCTAATGTGAAGTTATTGCAAGAGTAGCCAACCTGGTGTCCTCCAGATGCTATTGGGAGTCTACAGCATCCCTGACTGTTGGCTAGGCTATGCTTGCTATCCCTGTGTTAGTGTATATAGTCACAAGCCTTGGAACCAGTTTTTCTTTCCTTTTTTGGATTTGTAGAAACTTAGTGTTCAAAAGCTATTTAGAATGTTCCCTCACTTAGAAATTAGCTAGCGTCTCTTGCCTACCCCCACCCATCCTATGCTAGTTAAAAATGGACTATGGACTCAGGTACGTTTATAAAGATAAAGTGCTTTATATGTGTTATAACACTGATGGTGCTGTAGAGTCCTATCTTTCACCAATGGGATGTCCCTGTGTGAAGTTTAGAACATGTTTAACTGAACTGCTTCTGTGATGTTTCTAGATCCAGCCTACAAAGTAATTGTCATATTTGAATTGTTGGTATGCTTATATAAATATAGTATGATTGTTCCAGAAGTGGGTTATTCTTCTCTTCTTGAAAGACCCTAACTATGCATTTAAAACTTACATAAGAACCTTTTTTAGCCTTGTGAAACTGGCTGGTATGGCTGTGTAATTAGTGCCACATTATTCTTTCAGTAAATATGTCATATTAAGCAAATACATAAAGTATGAATTGTAGCCCAACTTATGATAATCTTTCTAAGAATATGGTGAGTTTAGAAATAATGTGTTGCATCCTTTGAACTGACTTGTAGTAGGACAGTGAGACTTTTTGTGCCTCTCTGCTGTCCTGTGTGCTCCTCAAATCTGTTCTGGAGGGTTGAAGAACTCTGGGCAGATTTTGAGGATGGTGTGGGTCTGCAGGGGGAAGAGAGGAAGGGGAATCCTTAATGTACAAGTGGAAGTCTGCTCACATGATTTTGGATTTCATGCACTGCCTGATATATTATCATTGTTACTTTTATTCCCCGCAGTTCCTGTTCCTCTTGGAAAGAGCACAGTGCAGCTTTCAAGAATGAAACATTAAGCAGTAAAACAGTGAAATATAATATACAATAAAAATACAGTATAATGCCCATTAAAAAGTTGCACATGTGTGGGCAATTCCACTATGAACTGAAGGCATGCAGAAACAAAAAAGTTCCCAATTGCTAACTGAAAACAGAGTGAGAGGGGGAAAACCAAATGTCTACAGGGATGGCGTTTCATTAACAGGGTGCTCTGCTTTATGTAGTTGCCCTATGGACTGTAGTCACCAAAGGGTCTCCCAAGCAAGGCCTGCCTTGCAGAAATCAAGACTGTTGGCAGGTTCTCGGAACCAGTAATGTAGGCTGAAATAAATTTATGGCTATATTTTGAAGTGTTTGCAATGTGTGGAAAGATGCTTGAGGAGAGTAGACAAGCCTGTTGGTGATAAATCTTGCAGCCAAGATAGTTACAAAATGTCACACTGCAGCCAGGGTGTCCTTAGACCTTGGATAGAGGCAAACTATGTACCATCAGTTGTGAGTGATGGCGTTTCTTGCACATTGTTGGTCTTAAAATATTTGCTAGGATGCAGGATGCAAAACAATCTGATCAGGAAGGCAGTTCTTATGAATATGCATAGATGGTATGGTAGAAGTGAGAAGGGCTTATATAAAAAACTCAGCAGCCCTCTTGTTTCTAAATTGTAAAAAGCTACTTTGCAAAATTGACAGAAACACTGCACAATGCCTGTGAAGGTGCTACTGATGCCTTGTGCCAAAATCCAAAGGTTAAGTGGTCCCAACTCACAACTCGTAAATAAAAAAAGAAGTAAAGGGATGGATACTAAAGATCAGTGAATCATGTTTGTCAATGTGCCTCACATTATGCTGCCATTTTTGCTATGGTTGCTCCCATGTTTACACAACAACAGCTAAAGCTACAGAAAGTTTATGTATAACAAACCTATTTCAGTTTTTAAAGCAGTTAACTTACGTATAAGTTTAATGCTTGATTTAGACTTTTTCAGGTCTTTAGAATATTTGAATTTTATTTCTGTAGACAAGGATGAGAGCAACAGGCAAGAAGAAGAATTATTACAGTGGTACCTTGGTTCCCAAACTTAATCCGTTCCGGAAGTCTGTTCCAAAACCAAAGTGTTCCAAAACCAAGGTGTGCTTTCCCATAGAAAGTAATGCAAAATGGATTAATCCATTCGACTTTTAAAAACAACCCCTAAAACAGCAATTTAAAATGAATTTTACTATCTAACGAGAGCATTGATCCATAAAATGAAAGTAATAATCAATGAACTTTACTATAAAATAAATAAAACAGTATTGTAGATGATAAAAATTAAAAACATTTTTTTTCCTTGCGTGCACTGATGATCGTCATTGTTTGGATGGGGGGCTTTTATCCATTTCTGTAGTCATACTATCAATCAATCAATCAATCAATCAGTAGCTGAACTGGGTTCTACACAGTCACAAAAACAAGTCACAAAAATGAAGTCACAAGCCACAGTCACAGTCAAAAAACCGAAAAAGCCACAGAAACAAAACCGCAAAAAAATAGCAAAAACAAAAGCTCCAAATGTCACCTCTGTGTTGCATGGGTGCTTGGGACTCAACAGCCGACAGACTCAACAGGGAGCCTCTTATTAGCAGCGGGGGACTCAATTCACAAGCAGAAAACACTCAACAGGAAGCAGAACAGGTTCCGCTTCCAAGGCAAAGTTCACAAACCGAAACACCTACTTCTGGGTTTGCAACCTTTTGTTTCCAAGTTGTTCGTAAACTAAGCTGTTCTAAAGCCAAGGTACCACTGTACAACAGTGTCTAAAAATGGAGAACGTTATTTAGTATCTTTCTTTCAAATAGTAAAGAGGTGACTAAAGCTCTTAAGCCTTAAAACCGTCATAACATAGGCTATGAGACTGGGACAAGTTATGTTGAGGTACAAACACTCCTGCAAGAATAGCAACAAAATGCATGATTGCTACTGCTACCTATTCTTTCTTCTCCCTATCCAGCTGCTAGCTCTGCTTCTTCCAGCTTCATTGCTCGGCAGCTTAATTGCACATGAGAAAGCACATGGCATTCATGCCAGACTGCAGTTCTCACATCTTTACCACCTTCCCCAATCCCCATCCTCCAGTGCCCTGCAGTTTATGCTAGCTTTCAAGTTAACATCTGTCATGTTCTCTTAGGCCTTGCACATGTCTGGGAGCTCTGAGGGAAACCAATTATATCAGTAGCATATTCACAATAAGTTGAATTGCTAAGTTGACATATGTGGATAACAGGCCATAGATTTGGTTTACCTAATGTAGCCTATATTCAGGAAATTCGGTAGGCAAAACTCAGCAGGATTTACCTTGAGCTTGTTACTGACAACATCAATGGACAAATTGTCAGGATGTCGAAGTGGGTATGAAATTGTAAAGCAAGCACTTCTCATTGCAGTGTGTGTTGAATAGGATAATTGTTTAGATATACAGTGGTACCTTGGGTTACAGATGCTTCAGGTTATGCGTTTTTGGGTTGCGCACAGTGCCGAACCCAGAAGTACCGGAATGGGTTATGTCTGGGTTTCGGCACTCACACGTGCGCAGAAGCACCAAATCACAGCCCGCACGTGCGCAGGCACGGCGCTGCGGGTTGCAAATGTGTCTTCTGCACGGATCGTGTTCACAACCCGAGTTTCCACTGTATATCAAGTAAGGACTTTTAAACTTGCCCAACTATTCATAGACGCATTAGGTATTCAGTTTGCCTTGGCAACAGGAAACTATGGTTTTGTGTGCTATCTTTTGTACAATTGTAACTTTCAGAACTTTGGAAACTGAAATATTCAAATCTTTGTTGATCATTTTTAGTTACTTGCTTTATACCCTGCATTTTTCTGAAGAATGGTAGGGACAGCCAGGGAAAATCTTAATAATATCCTAATACACTTTTTTGAAGTAGGCTTGTGACTAGTCACTTACCTTACATTTCACACACACTATATGTATTTGTGGTCTATTTGTGACTACTGAAAATAAGCTGGAGCACTGAGAGAAGTAAACTTTCAGAGAAGTGAAAGGCATAAAACGGTGGCCAGCCAAATTCATTGGCAATGAATCCATAATGGTGTGAAATGGCATAACTTGGCAAAATGCCCACATCAGTGAGAATGTTCAACTTTCCTGTATCGTTTCTGCACTTCTGTTGTGCTGGGTAATTAGACTGAGAACATGGCATTTTATATTCCATGCAGAATAATTATTTCTGGAAGAAATTCATCCTCGTGTAATTCATCTGAGTTGGAAAATGTACCGTATTTTTCGCTCTATACCAGACCACAAGACGCACCTAGTTTTTGGAGGAGAAAAACAAGAAAAAAAATATTCTGAATCTCAGAAGCCAGAACAGCAAGAGGGATCGCTGCGCAGTGAAAGCAGCAATCCCTCTTGCTGTTCTGGCTTCTGTGATAGCTGTGCAGCCTGCATTCGCCCCATAAGACGCACACACATTTCCCCTTACTTTTTAGGAGGGAAAAAGTGAGTCTTATAGAGCAAAAAATACGGTATATACTGAGAAGGTTATTCCAATTTTATTGTCTTTCCCACTTGCAGACCATTCAAATGCTTGTCCAGTGTTTCTGCTATAATTGAATTCCAGTTAGCATCACAGGTCAATTACATGCTAAGGTTAGCCTGCAGTCCTTGATACTACACAGTCCAAATAAATGTATGTATGTATGTATGTATGTACGTACTATATCTATATATATATATAGGTACTATATCTAAAAGTATAACTTGTGGTATAACCTCCTTCATTATAAAAGATTTCTTGCCCCAAATGCCACCAACTGTGTAAAAAAGAATTCCTACCACATTTCCAAAAGTTAGTATATTTTTTATAAACCTTCAATTACCTAAGGGGTGACTGATACTAATGAGCGCAATACACCAATCCCCACCTGGTTAGTGGGGGGGGGGGAATCAAAGACAGACAAAGAACCAAATCAAAAGCCTTCCTGGCCTTGAATCAGCAGGATAAAAGGGGTGTGGCATTTTAGTTCCACCTGCTCTGCTTTCCATCAGTAGCTTTTCCCCTCCCTTCCCACTGGTTTCCATGGCTACAAAAAAGAGGCATCCATAATTAGGCTTCCTACTCTGTAGGCAGAGATGGAGAGCTACAATCCTATGACCCCCTAGAATATTTTCACAGGGGCCATAAGTTTGCACCCTAAATGAATTAATGACATAAGCATACCAGATCCAGGTGTTCTGATTTTCTAGAGCATTTCAGTCAGGGGTTTGGCCTCTCTGATGTGGTCCAGAGGAAAGCAGAGCAATATGTTTGGCACCAGCTTGGTTGCAGGAGTTGCCAGAAAGAGGCGTACAAAGTGCCATCCAGGTGTCTTCAGGAGTTTACTCTGGATTTGTGTACGGTTTACCCCTTAGCCTTTTGTTCTCCCAACGATATCCTGTGAGGCAGCAGGGGTTTAGGATCAGCGTTTCCCTTCTCTTAGATGGGTTGCCTTCCCAGGTTGACAAGCCCCATCTGCCCCTTACTTCCCTCTACAGCAAGTGCAGAAACCGCTTTCTTGACTGTTGGACCCATTCTTGGTCTCATTTGCTCAATCTGCTGGATCCTAAGTCATTGAAGTTTTGAGACCCATCAGCTACCTCACCTGGTTTGGCCAGCCAGTCAAAGCAGTTTCCCCAGGGTGTGTCCACTGCCACTGTTGACAGCTTCAAGGAGCCACAGGTGAGGGGTATGGCCGCTGTCACTTTTGGCAGCTTTGAGGAGTCACAGGTGAGAGCTAAGTGCAGTACACAGAGATGTATATTGTTCCTTTAACAGAAATGTTGGAAATGATTGCCAGTGCAGCTGAATGTGTTTAAAGAGCCAAGTTGTGTATTCCTGGTAGCCCTGCTCTAGGAGTGTACACTTAGCTTTTTTGTCTGAATTTACATTTTAAAATGTTCTTATGGAAGATTTGGATGTCTTTAGATCTGTCTAACTGCATACCTAAACAACCAGACTATTGCAGGGATGGCAGGAGCAGACAAGACACAGATCAATCAAAGCAGATTTTTAAATAGACATTTAGGTAAACTCAGGGCAGCACAAGATTGGTAGGGATAACTTAATGTGTTATTTAATTAAAAGTTGTTTAGAGGCAAATCAACTCCATTTCAGTAGCTTAAGAAACATGTTCTGTGCAGTTGCAATCTCAAGAAATTGAATGCTCAGAAGATACATATTGAATCTGCAGAAGATGTTCAGTTATAAGAGACACACATTAATATCTTAGCAGGGAAAAATCATGCATATTTGAGCACAGAAAAGAAAAAAAAGGCTTTGTTTTTAGCCAGTGATTTTTAAAAAAATACGTGCAGACTAGATTTATTCAGAGATTCTTACATTTAAGTCTGTCCTAAGAACTCACATTTATTAGTATGAATTCTAAAGTAGAAAAGCTAAGTATACACTCCTAGTGCAACACTACCAGGCATATATAACTTGGTTAGTTAAGTGTTTTCACCTGTGTTTGTAAGCATTTCCTGCTTTTCTTTTAAAGTAACAGTGCACCATACTAGTGGTAGTTCCCTTCACAATTATCATCAGTAAAAGCATATATCCTCTTATGTATGCTATCACAATGTTTATCATAGTGCTTTGGTAGAAAGATGTAATAGCTTCCTATTCTTGCATGAAGTTGAAGTTGGGTAAAGCCTGTGAATTTGCAAATAGCTCCTCTCTGCTTGTACCTCAGTGCTTCTCCATTTTTTCTGGCTATCCTTGGAGGATACTTTACATAGGATATGGAAGTATGTTAATAGCTGTCCTCTGAGTGTTTTATATGTTTTTCTTGTGTTGTGCTAGTAGAAGAAAATGAGTTCCTCACATTGTACTCCTCCAGGCAATATCTGCAGTATGTCAAGGAAAATTAACTGCTTCACAAATTCTCTATCTTTTTATGTGTTGCTGGAGAGCGTTTTAGGATAGGTTGGGAGAAATATATGAACTTGCCTGGATTCTAGAGAAATTGACTTGAGAATAAAATACAGTGGTACCTCGGGTTACATACGCTTCAGGTTACATACACTTCAGGTTACAGACTCCGCTAACCCAGAAATATTACTTTGGGTTAAGAACTTTGCTTCAGGATGAGAACAGAAATTGCACGGTGGCGGTGGGAGGCCCCACTAGCTAAACCTCCGGAACGAATTAAGTACGTAACCAGAGGTACCACTGTAGAATGAAGGTTTACTGGAGGGGCTGAAGAAAAAGGCGTTGTGGTTTGAGTTCTGGACGCTGATAAATAGGGCTTGTTTTTATGTGCCTTCTTGGTAGTGGCACCCACCCTGTGAAATGCCCTTCCATCAGATGTCAGGGAGATGAGTAACTACTGTATATCACCTTTAGAAGATATCTGAAGACGGCACTATATAGGGAAGTATTTTTATGTTTAATGTATTATGTTTTTACATATGTTGGAAGCCACCCATTGTTGTTGTTTGTTTGTTTGTTGTTCAACATTTTTCTCTGAGCCAGTATTGACTCCTTGCTGACCACTGTTAACAACTTGGGAGCCATATTTGGAAATGTGCTTTCCATCTTTGAAACCTTCCCCCCGTTTTGAGAGAATGTGGCAGTGTTTTCATAGGAGTGTAAAAGTAGTTGTTGAATTTCTACTTGCAGCATAATGTTGGTGGGGCATGTACTTGCGTATATTGTTAAAGTTAAGCTTTTGATCACTTTGGATGTGTTGAGAACAAAATAGTGCCCCGGCTGCTGTATGAAGGCCATGCCATGTCAAGTGATCTAGGGATTTTACTTTACCATTTTATATTGCTTCCATTTTCAGTGTCCTAAAAGTAGTGTAAGAGAAGGTCCCAGATCTCAGTTTTACATTTTTTTATCTCATCCCATTTTTGAGGGTTTGAAATTTTAAAAAGTGTCAATGTTGGCCTTGCCAGACTACACAATAACCTTAAAAGCTCAGCCCAGAATTGGGATATTTCAAAACTAAAATTACCATCGTCTTCAGACCTTCATGGGGTTTATTATGATATGGCACATGATGGACTTTAAATTTTAAAGAAAAATTACTGCATCTCCTTTAGAACCCTTATTAAAAAAACAACACTGAAAGCTAAACAGATTGCTGCTATGTAAGCTAGAGGAAGAAATAAGCACAGTAGGCAATAAGATTTGGTTTGGTTACTATTTTAATGACTGAGACATTTCTCTTATTGACCTAGTTCACACAAAGCGTTCAAGCAAACCATGATTTAATGAGACTTAATGAATATGTGGGTTTCTGGAAACGAGTTGGCACCCACTTTTTTTCTTTCTGGTCCTTTTTTACTCCTTAGGCCCAGACTTGCTGCCTGAGGTGACCACCTCACCTTGCCTCATTGGAAGACTGGGCTTGAGCCAAACCTTAGCTTAGTTCAGAGGACTGAAGAGAAGTAGCTGCCAGCTCCTCTCGGGGACCTGACATTTTTGCACGGTCTCACTAAGCCAATGTTTGACTTACTATGCCATAGGAATCATCTTGCTGTCTCAATGCTCAGTTTGACAAATGTTAAATTTGTATTTGAATATTTGCATTGCATTTGGTTTTATGTTTTTTAATTTTATTGTAATGTTTATTTCTTTTCATTTTAGTGTTTCTGGTTCCACCCTAGGACCCTCAGATAAAGGGTGGACTATAAATCAGTTCATTAAATAAAGCAAAATGACTACATGAAACTCGGGATTTGATATTGCTTTGTCCTCTGCATCCTCTTCCTTGAGGGAAACATCTAACCTTGCAGATCTGTACTGGTAGAAAAACATTGGAAATATGAATTTAGACAGGGCTCCAGGCAGCCCCTGCTGACTTTTATTACATGTCATAAGTTTTCATATATGCCTACTCAGGTTCTACTACTTTTCTAGTACGTATTATAAAAAGAATAGAAGCTTGATGAATAGAAGCCAAGGAGGGACCACACAAATGCACTGATTGGCACCCACCCTCTCTGTGCCATTGTGACTGTTTACTTTACAGCACAAACTAGAAGGAGGAGTGTAAAAAAAGGCTTGAAATGAACTGTATACCAATTTATTTAATATATAGATGTCTTTGTACGTTGTTCTCCTTGAAAAGCTGCTTGTTAGTACAGTCGTACCTAGGAAGTAAAACGGAATCCGTTCTGGAAGTCCATTCGACTTACAAAGCTCCTGCAGTCAATTGGAAGCTGCGGAAGCCCTGTCAGACATTTGGCTTCCAAAAATAGTTTGCACTTCCGGGTTTGCGGCGTTTAGGAGTCAAAACTTTCGAGAACTAAGCTGTTCGAAAACCAAGCTACAACTGTATTGGTGAACTCACTGAAAATTTATATTATGTTGCTTGGGAGGGAGGGGTAGACTATAGCCAGGGATGGGAATTGGGGCCCTCCTCATAAGAATTTTTTACCTCATGGAGTGCTTTACTTGAATTGGTTCTCCTCAGCATGGTGATATGTGTTTTAACTAGTGTTAGAAACTGAGATATGAAAGCTAGGAGCTAAATGACACCTTAAACCTAGGTTACGGGCACAACAACGGAATGTCTCGGTGCACTTATTCTGAAATCTTAGGCACAGTACTGCTCCCAGAGCTCAGAAACTGCTCACACTAATGAAATTCCCCATCGCAAAATGTGCTGAGAACAATGGGAGTTTTGAATGCTGGTTTTAAAGTTCTTTATGGTGATCCAAATTTTAACAATAAAGACTGTTGGCAGTTATTGCTCACTGTACTACAACTTGTGATGAGCTCATGACACATTTGTACAAGTTCCCCTCTCATAATTTCCTTAAAGTGTGGTGATATAGATATGTAAACATGTTATGAGTGTTTTGGAAGATAACTGCAAAATGATTGCCCCTGTGATATTTTTTAGCAGCAGTATTATTTTTTAGCAGCAGTATTTTAGCAGCTGTATTCAATCCTGTGTTGATTTTTTGTTTGTGTAAGAACTGTAAAAATGTAAATTGATGATAAACTGAAAGGGTAATTTCTCTGCATAGGACAGTTTGAAGTTTTAATGGCACATTACTAGTAAAATTAGTTGAGAATGCATAGCAGCATGTCATGCAGTATGACATTTTTGAAACTTTGCATGTGATACGTACTCAGATTCAGTTTAATCTTGTTTGTAGGTTAAACTGAGAGGGTGTGACTGTCCCAAATTGCCCAGTTAATTTTATGGCTAGGCGGGAATTTTGACTGGGTTTCTCCAGCCTAATTTCATTACTCTAGCCCAGTGGTTCTCAAAGGGTGTGGTAAACCACACTGATGTGACAGGAAGAAGAAGAGTTTGAATTTGATATCCTGCTTTATCACTACCCGAAGGAGTTTCAAAGCGGCTAACATTCTCCTTTCCCTTCCTCCCCCACAACAAACACTCTGTGAGGTGAGTGGGGCTGAGAGACTTCAAAGAAGCGTGACTGGCCCAAGGTCACCCAGCAGCTGCATGTGGAGGAGCGGAGACGCGAACCCAGTTCACCAGATTACGAGTCTACCACTCTTAACCACTACACCACACTGGCTCTGGAGAGGATGACAAATGTGGCCAGAAGATTCAAGGACAATCAGAGAAATATTTAAACATTTCAGCACATCATAGCATAGTATAGTATCAAACTAATATTTTTATTTGCAGAATATGTAGCTGCATTGTTTTATACTTTCTGGATATCCCATGATCATAGTTGTGTTCTGTGTTACAAATCAAGCATTGCTAGGAGTACTTCCATTTTGTTTTCCAATGTATTTCTTATCTTTTTTTAAAAAAATAATATTTATTGATAATTTCAAGATTACAAGAAAAATAAAAAATAACAGACAACACTACAATACAAAAACAGAAAAAAGAAAAAGAAGACAATAAAAAAGAGAAAAGCACAAAATGTAAAAAAGAGAAAAAAGAGAAAAAAACACAAATCCCAAATTGCGTATCCATTATTTCCATTTGCTTGTTTCATTGACCTCCTCACACCTCCGTTTTTGTATTCTAATTTAATAATTTTTTCAGCAAATTCTTTCCATCTTTCTCAATTTTTATTATAAAATTTATCTTAACAATTTAACCTAATAATTAACTCAACAAATCCTTACCATCTTTCCCCATATTCTATTATTCAGATTACCTTAATTTATTTAACCTTATCTTACCCCTAAGTGCCTTAAAACTTAAATCTTAAATTTCAAATATTCATAACTCCTAATATCATTTCTGCTAGAGTCGTATAGTTTCATTCCCACATTTTCCCTAATATTCATTAGCTAATTCTAAAATAAAAAAGTTTCCATTATAAATTCTCTTCCAATCATCATCCAGCGTCTCTTCTTCCTGGTCTCGGGTCATGTCGGTCCTTATTGTCCTTATTGTCCATTCCGTCTAGTCCATCAACCTGGAAGCCTTATGTCCGAGGCCCTTAAATCTCTTCCATGTCCCTTCTGCAATTCTTCTTCATCTTGTTTGTGCTTGCCCTTTTCCTTGTCTCTTATTGGTCTCTGTCTTAGTTTCTTTCCTTTCTCATTGAGGAGTAGGTCTCTGGGGGATTCCAGCCGAAAATTATCTCCATCGCCCTTCATCCAGCTCACCCATTCCCCACAGTCCCACTCCCCACAGTCCTCGATGTAATCCAAAATGAATTTAAAATCAAATTTCAGAGTCTCTCCAAAGCTAGAAGTCTCCTCATCTCCAGACTCCCCTTGGCCCACTCCAGCTTCAATCTTCGATAACAGTGTCTTATGCTCCTGTAGGACCTCGGGTCTCTCCATTTGTACTATTTGAGGTGCAGCTGCATCCTCCTCCATTGTCAACTGCGCTTGCGCAGTCGGTACGGATTGATAGGTTGATTCTTGGATGATTTCTGTATCAATGTTATTAACCACAACAGTCAAATCCAATTTCTCATTCATCAAATCCATCTTTTCATGCATCTGTTCCAGCAGAGTATTTGTCTTGCATAGAGCAAGCAGCCAGTCTTTCTCCCAGCTCATCTTTATTCAAGGTCGAAAAAAGTCTGTTCCCACAGTCTTAATCTCACAGATGCTGGGTCTCAAATATGCTGCAACAACAATTTAGCAAGCTCCCTCTAGAGGATACAATCCAATTGTAGCCATTTTTTTTTTTAAAGACAAAGGAAAGTTACTTTCACTTTTCAGATATTTCAAACGTTTTTCAGATATTTTGTTTCTTTAAGATGCAAAAGGCAACATTAGAATCAACTTGTTTCTCTTCACTGGCTATCTGTCAAAGTGTTGCGTTCACCGTCAATGAACCTCAGCACCAGTTTCTGTCTCTGACACCCCGTTCCCAGGTTAGAGACGATGGAAACTTATCCTTCTTCACTCCCTCTCCTGCTAGAGTTAAACAGAGTCCCCCCCCCCTTTTCTCCTGCTTCCAAGGGGGGTTTCAGTGGTTCTAAATGAAGGAAATTTAGACCTTTTTGACAGCTTCCCGGCTTTAGCTTGCAAAATTTTTGCTTTAGTCTATATACAAAGAAACGGAAGGCGGACTTCCTGTTTACACCTTCCCGCTTCGTTACCAAATTAAAACAATTTCTTGATCCAATTTTCCGTTTCTACTCACGGGTACTTGTTTTAAGTCCAATTGTCCACAGGAAAAAGTCAGCGCTCTCTGGCAATGGCTGTGCGGCTTCACTCCGTGAAAGTAGCAGTCAGTTCGTAGCACCGCGCTTCTCACCCCACTTCGCTCCGGAGCCCCTAGATGGGATTCCCCGCGAGTAGGGGGGCGCTTCTGGTGCCCTGCCGAACCCCACGTTCCCAGGCTTCCTCCGCCTGGGATTTCTAGCGGGTCCCCACCTTCGCCGTGGCGGGAAGACCCAGTTTTCACGGAGCCCGTTCCTCCGGTCGGAGGAACTCCGCCATTCACCAATGGCGCTGACCCGGAAGATGTATTTCTTATCAATAAAAAATCAGCGTGGCATGAGAAAATTGTTATTCTGCAAGTGGGGCCCAGAGAAAATAGTTTGAGAACCACTTCTCTAGCCAGCACAATGCTGGTTCTGCATTTCTCCTCAAGAAAGAACCCTTGCTCACTAAATGCATGGGGAATTTGCACTGGCTGACTTTGTAGCAAACCTAAGAGCCTTTCCTAGAGCCTGGGAATACAGTTTTCCTCAGGATCATAGAAAGAGGACCATATCAGAATTAGAAAAAATTAAACATATTAATATGTTACAGCTCAGCTAGTGCAGCTGAGCACATATATTCTGCATTACCGATGGGAGAAAGAAGGGACTCCATACATAAGGTAACAATTATATGTCTGCTAATAGAACATTGGATTTGATATTTCCTGCTTGGTGTTAGTTTGTTGCTGTTGAGATGGAAGTTATATTGATTTCTATAATTTTACAGGAATTTAAATTCTAATTCTGCAGCCTTTTTCCTTTATAGATGCCACCTCAAATGAACAGCAAGACCTCTTCTGTCAGAAGCTACAGCAGTGTTGTGTATTGTTTGATTTCATGGACTCTGTCTCTGACTTGAGAAGCAAAGAAATTAAAAGAGCAACACTGAATGAATTGGTGGAATATGTTTCAACACATCGTGGTGTGTTAGTTGAATCAGCATATTCTGATATAGTGAAAATGGTAAGTAAAACACCTGAAGTATACTCTTCTTGGACACATTTAAAAATGACACCCAATATTTTTTGCTAAATATAGTCTGTGTTCTGTATTAATTTTTCTATAGCAGAACAAAATTTTTGCTGACACTACCTGTTAACTTGCTGTTAAATTGTAACGGATTAAAATTGGTTACATTTAGTTGCATGACAACCATAGACTCCTAGGTGACAAGGACGTAGGAATGGGTTCATTGTTTGTCCCTCTTTTACTGCAGAATGACGGATTAAAGCTCAAAGGTTATAGCTGGAGAGAACAATGGCTGCATTTGGATGTCACACTAAACTATGGTTAAGTGAGATACGGGCACCACACCCAGGAGGAGTAGTTTGGGAGCTTTTGCTTTACCACAGCTTCCTATGTTAGCTAGACCTAGAACTGTGGTTAATTTTAATTGTGGTTACTTTCAGATAAGACAGCTTCAAAAACTACAGATTGAGTTCTCTTGTTTGAAGCTAACCATATTTTACATTACTACAGTTTGTTTATGCAGTCTGTACAAAAAGCTTCTATTCAGCAAGCACAGAAGCAGAAACTTCTACTGCTTCTGGCCACACAGGAGTGGGAGAGGTAAAGGTGTATGTGAGCCAGACTAGGGCTGTTCATGTCTCCCTAAGCCGTAAGAGGCCAAGAGAAAGTTGCTAAACCTCTTCCTATGTTTCCAGTTGCAGCTGAAGCAGGAAAAGTTCACAGCTTGGTCAATAGATTGCTTTTGCTCCAGCTGCTTTTATACCTCAATTTTCTCCCAGCAATTTCATACTCAGTCTCTTCCTATACATAGAATTGTGTCTCAGAAGAAATTGTAGCTTTCAACAGTCATTTCTCTCCCTCCAACAACAGCAATTTAGTTTGCAGCTCCTTCTCCTGACATCACATTGACTCTGCACTTGTTAGTGCAAAACAGACAGTGCAAAGGAACAAATGCTGGCGTAAAAAATGTTTGCTTGATTTTTGAATGTGCACTTGTTCCTTATTCATCATGAGGAGGAGCAAAACTGCAAGAAAGAACGGGTGAGGAAGGGAGGGAAAGAAGTGAAGAGAATTAGTTGGGTTGAAAGTGACAAAGGAGTAGAAAAAGGAACTGCAATAATGTTGGAAGCAGAAGAAGGAAAGGAGAATGGGAAGGGGGAAAACTAAGAAGATGGAGAAGGTTCAGAAGGAAGATTAGAGAAAGAGCAGAGGGTGAAGAATCAAGAAAACAGCATAGGGTAGGGAAGAAATAGCAAGAATTAGAGTGCTAGGGTGGTTGCATATGTATAATATAAATGTATGGCTGCCCACTGAGCTCCCCAATATTGGCTTCTAACGATTTGCAAAAATGTTTGTCCCTTTTCCTACTTAATATGAGATTTTCTGTGGACTTTGTAGCATGTTGGTCACACCTATAAAGTTACTTAGGCTGTGCACACATTAACAGCTTAAACCCCCTCCCAACTGCATTTCAGATTGCATTTCCACAGTGTTCATCAGTAGTTGGATGTGTTTTCAAGTCACCTGCTTTCTCTCCACACCAATGGCTGGAGAAGGAGCCTGGATGTCTTCTTGTGTCTTGCATTTTCATATTGGATCAAAGCTGGTTTGGGGGCAAATGCAACAAAATGCAGAATTTCTCAAGAAATGACAGGACAGATGAGGAATGTGGCTAAGGTTGTGTGTACACATCTTCACAAACCAGCAGTCGGAGAGCACTGAATGCAGAGTAAAAAGAAGTATGTACACCACAACCTTAGCCTCAGCATAGTTGAAGGAATAGAAGTGGCACACAAAAGTGCACATATTGGTTAACTATCTTAAATTTAATATTATCAAGCAATGGTCAGCTTTTATTTCCTTTTAGGAAGGAATATTTAGAGTCCAACAATATTTTATATTAAACATGTCAATTAGGATCTGACACTTCACAACTTTTTTTGTTAATGCTTGTAAATGTATTGTTGAAATCTTGCTTGTGGTTATTGAAGTTAATGGTAAATCTGGTGTTGATTTTATTGGCTGTGGATTGCACCAATTGTTTATATAAATTTACAAGTTTAATCTTTGTCTTCAGTTTCCAGATGGGTAGCACAGTTAGCCTGTTGCAGCAAAAAAAGAAAGTGCTTTGGCATCTTGAACAGTAACAAATTCACCATGGCATAAACTTTCATGGATTAGAGTCCACATCATCAATTGCTCTATCTTTAGTAACTCTGGCATTATCATCTACAAATTCATATTTGACTGTGTTCCTGGAAAACAAATGTTCAAGTATAACAGCTGAAGACAGCCATAAAATACAGTGGTGGAAAAGTGGGCAAACTACAATGTTGCTCACTAGGAGTATGGATGATGCTGACCAGGAATCCTGGAAAAAGCTTTGTTTACCAAATGAAAACATAATTAAGATGATCAAAGATTACTTGTTCTTAAACAGTAATCCAGATTTCAAAAATCTTGTAAAAATAAATGAAATCAATTTTGGTATAAGGTTTTTCAGTATATCTCGTAAGAACGTAAGATTAGCCTGCTGGATCAGCCCAGTGGCCAACCAGATAGATTCCTGTGGGAAATATGCAGAAAATGAGCACGAGCACTTTCCCCTTCCATGGTTTCCAGCAACTGTCATTCAGAAGCATTTCTGCCTCCAACATTGGAGGTAGAGCGTACCCTTAAATAGCTTGTGGACAAATGCTGGCTCCCTCAGCCTGAAAGCGAGATGAGTGCTGCACCTCATAGTTGCCTTTGACTGGACTTAACAATCCAGGGGTCCTTTTTTTAATGGCTAGCCTTCTCAAATATAATAGCCATGCACGTTTCCTTTTCTCATGAGAATACATCAATGTAATACCAATCTGAAATGTACAGTTGTGGACCAAAACTTTTTGTTTCATGTTAATACTTTTTTAGAAAACGTTTTGGTAACATTTGAGTATATGCAATTTCATAGTGCATATACTATGATTAGAATCTCATTAATTCTAGAAATGACTGAAAACCAAATTAGTTTCCCATGTGTTCAACCCTGGTCTTTGAATTAGATACTCTTGCTAGGTTAAATAAACTTAAACACCCTTGTGACACCTTGAAGGTTTAAAGCTTGTTCTATAATAAATCTTTTAGTCTTTAAGGTGCCCCAGCTGTTGTTTTTGCTTCAGCAGACTTAAAGCTTTTCCTACAGTAAATCTGTTAGTCTTTAAGGTGCCTTAAGCTATTGTGTGTGTTGCAGCAGACCGACACAGCTACCCCTCTGGACAGGTATTCAGATGATAGCAGGACTGGTCCCAGCTCCTGGGTGGGTGGGTGGGTGGGTGGGTTTGTGTGTGTGTTCACAGCATACACAGTTAAAGATCTATAATGCAGTGCAATGTTAGATTATTAATATGTATTCATTGAAGACCTGCAAAATATGTAAAAGGCCTATTACATTTTTAGAGCAAAGCAGCTCCTTCACAAATTAAAAAAACAGAACTAATCCCTTTTTGTAACTGGCGTAACAGTGGCTAGATAACTTGAGATTTTAAAAAGTGCAGTTCTTCCATCTAGTAATTGTGCTTTAAAACAAAGTAGTAAACTGCAGAACACTTCTAGTTATTGTTTTGTGCTTGTGGCACATTGTACTAGTCTTGATTACGATTGATTACGGTTGATTCATCTGTGGAGTCCAGGACCTACCACCTTGGGTTGGAATTTCACCATTGACTACACTTAATTGTAAATAACTATTGCCATCAATATGTGGAGTTGCATCCACAAAACAGTTTATGATGCACAGCATTGTTCCATTCATCTTTCTTCTCACAACTCATCCATTTACACTGGGCACACCAGGGTTAGCTGTGGAGAACAGCTTTATTCTACTTCCACGTAATTTCATTTGTAAGATCCTTTCATTAAGTGGGAATAAAACTGCTGCTGCTCCTCAGCGCTTTTTGTCCATACATACATGAAAGACACAACTCATCCATAATTCATGCACGAGGAATATCTCTTGGAAATACCTAACTATTTTTGTAAAGGAAATTAGAAGTCACTTTTCACAACTTTTTACAGTGGCCTGTAAACATTATGGTGAGCAGCTACCATGGTCTGATATTTGGAATGTCCGACAGCCTCATGGGTTCTCTTTGTTGTTCTAGCCCCTTGGATGTTTCCCTTCCACTTAGCCATGGTTTACCATGACACCTGAACTTGCATCACCATAGTAACTGCTAAGCCGCAGTTTAACTTCACTTTTTCAAAATTAAGAGAGATCAAAACAAGGATCTCCATGTTAAAATCTGGCTTGAGAGCAAATTATGGTTAGTAGCAGTTATGACTACTCCAGTTCAGATATATATTTATTAATAACACTCCTAGACCTCTCTTCGTTACAAAATAATCACAGAGCAGTTTCTAAAATATTATAAACAAGATGGATAACAATTGAACAACTATATGACATCAGATGTACTGTAGGAGTGTGTTGTTTGGGGGAAACATCATTGAAGGCCAAATTTGGGGCCTGGCGTAGCCCATGGGTTGGATATTTTCCACCCTGAACCAATAGGACTCTTTTTCTCTCTCACTGGCCTATCACAAGGTGCAAAGCCTCAACTCAAATTCCTAAGCAAATATAGTATTTCTGTGGATGATGGTGACTCCCCCACCACCAACATTGACCTTCCAGCCTATGCTGATGCGAGGGGAGAGGACACCACTGAGTCAGGTCAGGCCTGCTCATTTTGCCCACCAAGGCTTCAGTAATACACACCATGTCAATTGCTTCATGAGACTGGTCTTATGCACTGATCTGCCATTCAGTAGCAGCACCAGGTAGGACAAGTTGCCATGACATTATATGTATTTCTGGCTGAGTGATAGCTCAGAAAAGATTGTGGCTGCCAAATGTCTTTGACCTCTTTTCCTTACCTGACAAGTACTTAGAATAAGGAAAATGAGGGGGAAAAAAGGGGGGGGAGAATAAGGAAAATGCAAAGATGTAGATTGTTGTTGTTTAGTCGTTTAGTTGTGTCTGACTCTTCGTGACCCCATGGACCAGAGCACGTCAGGCACTTCTGTCTTCCACTGCCTCCCGCAGTTTAGTCAAACTCATGCTGGTAGCTTCGAGAACACTATCCAACCATCTCGTCCTCTGTCGTCCCCTTCTCTTTGTGCCCTCCATCTTTCCCAACATCAGGGTCTTTTCCAGGGAGACTTCTCTTCTCATGAGGTGGCCAAAGTATTGGAGTCTCAGCTTCAGGATCTGTCCTTCCAGGGAGCACTCAGGGCTGATTTCCTTAAGAATGGATAGGTTTGATCTTCTTGCAGTCCATGGGACTCTCAAGAGTCTCCTCCAGCACCATAATTCAAAAGCATCAATTCTTCGGCAATCAGCCTTCTTTATGGTCCAGCTCTCACTTCCATACATCACTACTGGGAAAACCATAGCTTTAACTATACGGACCTTTGTTTGCAAGTTGATGTCTCTGCTTTTTAAGATGCTGTCTAGATGTAGATTAGGTAGGCAATAAATACAATCATAGTTGTCATTAAAGGGGGACAGAGGTATAAGTGGCATGCGAATCCTTGAGGTGTTCACTCTTGTCAGTCCATGGCATTTAATCTAGCGTGATGTCTGAACTGTGCTCCTGTCCCTACTAGTGCTTTCCTTGGATGTTCCAGAGATAAAGCCAGTAATGGCCAAGTGAGACTCCTACAATGGTAGGAGCATATCCAGCAGTAAGCCAACAATAAATTTCTAGGGCAGGCGAAACCGATACTTGCATTCCTAATGCCCCCAGACAAATAACATGTAAGATTCTCTTTCTGAACAGACATTTTCCTGAAATTGTAGTTCTACATTTGACCATTCATTCCTTATCTTCAAAGATGCTTTTTACAACAATTTCCGTGAGAGGTCTGGGAATTTATTATTTTAAATTGTAAAGCAGAGGCATGTTGTGCCTTCACAGCAGCCGTGAATGTATTCCATTAAAACAATAGTTCTTCATATTGTCCTTTGTTTCTCAGCTGTAAATTAATCAGCTTCTTTTTAGCACCATCTGTCAAATTCACCTTGAAAGTGCTTAACCCTTATTATACATGTGAATAACATTTACATTTATTTAATATAACATGCAGCTAAACTTTATACACTTGAAACCTCTGTGAAATTTGAAAGTTGCCCACGTAAGCCATAGATTTATTAAGGTTTTGGAACAGAAACTAGAAGGTTTTTGCTCCTGGCATTCCAGTATAAGAAGAAAATGTGAAACTGGCAGCATGAGAATTCTTTATCAAAATCTTGAGCCGATAAGGAGACTGAATGTGTGTAAATACCATGCCTAAGTCAAGAGAATAATCTGATTGTCTGGATCTGTGCCCACTGTTGAACAGAACTTGATTTGAAGTGCTGGATTCAAACCAGTAATCCATGCCAACATAACCTACCACTTTTCTTGATCACTATTTGTCTTTTCCCCTGTAGACAATATGCTAAATATCAGCCCCACAGTCTATGAAGAGAAGCATCTCAAATAGTCTCCTTTCTAACTAATGTTTAGAGAGCATTCCGGCAGCATTTGTTTCAGGTTTCAAAACCAGGAGAAGTAGAAGTATGATCACTGGACAGAAGTGGTCACTGGGGCTTCACAGACACATGGAAGTAGCAAAATGCATCTTTAATATCTTCTGTTCCCTGCCCTTTACTCCAGTTAAAAAGGTAAAGGGACCCCTGACCATTAGGCTCAGTCATGACCGACTCTGGGGTTGCGGCGCTCATCTCGCTTTATTGGCCAAGAGAGCCGGGATACAGCTTCCGGGTCATGTGGCCAGCATGACAAAGCCGCTTCTGGCGAACCAGAGCAGCACATGGAAATGCCGTTTACCTTTCCGCCGGAGCGGTACCTATTTATCTACTTGCACTTTGAGGTGCTTTCGAACTGCTAGGTTGGCAGGAGCAGGGACCGAGCAACGGGAGCTCACCCCATTGCAGGGATTCAAACCGCCGACCTTTTGATCGGCAAGTCCTAGGCTCTGTGGTTTAACCCACAGCGCCACCTGCGTCTCTTACTCCAGTTAGCTGTTCATTATTACAAATTTCTTGACACACACTTATTTCAAGTGTCAATTTTTGATGCTATAGTCACTATGTTTATCTACCACTTCCCATCTTCCAGAGGATACTTCAGAGTATACTGGATGGGACTGTTGCTACAGGAGCTTCGACACCCTTTTCATTACTAGCCTCCTCCCCTGGACTTGTCCTTTATCCCGCTTTCCATCCCTACTTACGTTCCACCAATCTCTTGTTATAAGTTTTCCACTGGGACATTTTTGCCCCAACCTTGATTCCAGTGTCTACTTCTTGTTCCTTTATTAATATAATGTGCAGAAAGGGGCGGGGGACCTGCATTAACTGAAAGATTTTTACAAAGATGGATGACCACTTACCATCAAAGAGATGCAAATTCAGTTGGGAACTATGGAAATACCATAGCTATTAACTTACCAATTAAGGTCCTTTTTAACAAACTCCCAGGTTAAAAACGAAGCCACAAGACAATGACATATGAGAAAATAGTCATTGAAGAAAATATAATGACAAAAGGATTAATACATTTTTTCTATAAATCTATTATAGAGATTCATTTTTGCCCTCAGCGAAATACATCTATTAACCACTGTAGGAGCAACCATCGCCAGGACATGGAAATCATTACAATTATTGACTATGGATCAATGGTATAATGCAATTTGGTAAACAGTATTATTGGAAAAACTGACACAAAAATTATAAGTAGCAAGAGGCCAGAAGAAACACAACAATGTTTATGCATTTTGTGATTTTGTTGATTATACGAATAATGAGGCATATGGCAGAACAGAACCCATAGTTTACAGTTTGGTATGCATAAAGTATATATTTTAACTTTCCCTTTTCTCCCTTACTTCCTATAAATTCCTATAAATTAAATTTTTTGGATTCAAAATCCTTTTTACTAATGGTCAACAATCCAAACATATACACTATTATACATCATTTCATATCTGTAACAATTTATATCATAACACAACTTGTTAATGTAGTCAGAAATGTTTATCTGAGCATATGCTGTTTTAAATTAATTCTCATTTTATGTAACTGTTGCATGTCATATGTCTAAATGCAATAAACAAATAATTATAAATACATTAAAATAAATATTTGTGTCCTTCTTTGGGCACAATTAAATTAGCTTAAAATGTATCTATATTCTTCCAGATTGGTTCTAATATCTTCAGGACACTTCCACCAAGTGAAAATCCAGATTTTGATCCAGAAGAAGATGAACCTACGTTAGAAGCTTCATGGCCTCATATACAGGTATATTGTTCCTTTGTATAACTATTTGTATTCCCAATTCATGCTGTTTCTGTACAGTGGAACCTCGGTTTTTTAACGTCTTGGCTGCCAAACATTTTGGAAGCCAAACACCAAAAACCTGGAAGTGAATGCTTCTGTTTTCAAACATGCCTTGGAAGTTCAACAGCTTCTGTGGTGCTTTTTTCCATTTTCACCATTCACTTTGCCAATAGCCCTTTGATTTTCGGTTTTCGAACGTTTCATGCAGCAGTATGCTAGTACAGTGGTACCTCGTGTTAAGTACTTAATTCGTTCCGGAGGTCCGTTCTTAACCTGAAGGCCTCCTGCTGCTGCCACTGCGCCGCTGCTGCATGCTTTCTGTTCTCCTCCTGAAGCAAAGTTCTTAACCCAAGGTACTATTTCTGGGTTAGCGGAGTCTGTAACCTGAAGCATATGTAACTCGAGGTACCACTGTAGTATGCTAGGGTAGCAGTTTTGGAAATGTAATATATACCTTTTATTCCTAAGTAACTATATAATATTGATTTCCCTTTCACATCCAAACTCCTTGAACTTGAGGTTTACTCCTACTTCTTTGACTTTTCTCGGTCACTTTCTGAACCCACAGCTTCCATTCTTTAAGTTCGTAGAATCATAGAATTGTAGATTTGGAAGGGAGCTCAACTGAACCTGACCCTCACAGAATTATTGATTACCTTACTGTCAAATCTATATTTGTCTCTACTGTTCTTATTTATCTTGATTTCTTTGCTGCCCTGGATGCACCTAACTGTCATCTCATGTCTGATTCTTCTGTGCTTTGGCTTGGATACTCTGTATATCCCTGCTGGCAGCATATGGCCCAAAACTTCTGGGCACATGTGTGCTCAGAAGCACTCCTGGTATCTTAAGAATGGTTAAAAGGGGATCAGGAAAACATTCCTCTGCATCAAGCCTGAGAGAGGCTACACTTGGCTGCTGAAATATCACAGTAGATCAGGAAAAGAGGGGCTGTCTCTTTAAGAGCCAACACATTTACTTTTATTTGGAACAACAACTGCTGGCCCTTTACATAGTGGATAAGCTTTTTACTACTTTTAATTTATTGCATTTAAAGGTATATTTTCTAAATGTGTCTGTTTTACTCTTTCCTAGCTGGTGTACGAATTTTTACTAAGGTTTTTAGAAAGTCCCGATTTCCAACCTAGCATCGCAAAACGTCACATTGACCAGAAATTTGTACAGCAGGTAAATAGTCATCTGAAATATTTGTAATTTTGCTAATTTTGTATGAAGATAATTGGTTGACTCTAAAGAACATATTCCACAAATGGAAAGGCTTCTTTAGTTTGCAGGAGAGCTTCAATCTAGTTGATGCTTCCGCTGGCAGAAAAGCAAGTTGTCTTAAAGGGACCCCCAGTTATCTGGAGTAGATTTTCAGGAAGCAGAGGGAGAAAGACTTAAAGCAGGAGCAGCTGATTCTGCTTATGGGAACTCTGGATTTGAGTCAATGTTGCATGTATCATTGTGTAGAGCAAGAAACAAAACTGTGGTGGAGAAAACTACTTAACATTGCCACTGAACACTTCAGCTAATTTAGCAACATGAGGCTCATTTCATGGTTAAATTGACCTAAACCTGAGTCTTACTGAAATAATGTGCTTTAATTTTTTTAACTATGCCTAAGTCTTATTTTAGCAGGATTTGCTTATGTAACCTATCTGGGTTGTGCTCATTCATTTCAGAGGCTTAGGTGGGCTTAAAGGTAAAGGCAAAGGGCCCCCTGACCATTAGGTCCAGTTGTGGCCGACTCTGGGGTTGCGGCGCTCATCTCACTTTACTGGCTGAGGGAGCCTGCGTACAGCTTCCGGGTCATGTGGCCAGCATGACTAAGCCGCTTCTGGTGAACCAAAGCAGTGCACAGAAATGCCGTTTACTTTCCCACCGGAGCGGTACCTATTTATCTACTTGCACTTCATGCTTTCGAACTGCTAGGCTGGCAGGAGCAGGGACCGAGCAACGGGAGCTCACCCCGTCGCAGGGATTCAAACCGCTGACCTTCTGATCGGCAAGCCCTAGGCTCAGTGGTTTAGACCATAGCGCCACCCACGTCCCTTAGGTGGGCTTAGATAGGTATAATTACAACCAGTTTTAAGGAAATGTTTTATGAACTTATTACATGGCAGTAATATTGTTCCTGTTCTCTAAAATAGAGAAATACTTTTATTAGAACCAACCTAAAATTGATACAACATTGTGGTTTGGTTGATCCCAATTAAAGGTATTTCCTTGCTGTAGATTTTGTGTGTTCCCCTACCTGCCTGAAGGATTGATGTAGCATCTATGCTTTTGCTCTTTCTTATGTAATGGTGTTTATAAAGAATGAATTCACTGAGAGCTTCCCTGACCTGCATTTATGTGGGAAGGAATTTTTGACAACATGTCACTGAATCAATCCAGTGCTTAATTTTGGTATAGTTTAGAGGGTGGCAGGAGGAATTCGGGTCAAAGTTGTTTTTCTTTCAGTTAGGATTTAGTTACTGGGTATTGAAGTAATAAGCAATGCTTTATTAATAGCTGTTGGAGCTTTTTGATAGTGAAGATCCACGAGAACGAGACTTCCTAAAAACAGTTCTTCACCGAATTTATGGCAAATTCCTTGGATTAAGAGCATTCATCAGAAAACAAATCAACAATATTTTTCTCAGGTACAATATATGTAGTATTTGTTTGTTTACTAAACATACAAATTAATCTTGCAAATGTATTTTAACAAAAATAAAATTACTTGGCCACAGTTTTTTACTAGGGTGCTTATCCACATGTATGGGGATTTAAAAAAACAAAACAAAAAAAACCACCCTTCTCATACACTTGAAAGCAATGGATTTATATTATGAATCAGCAGCTTTCTGCTGGTTGAAGGATTGGTTACTTCTGGAAAATACTGATGTTTTGGACTTAGAAGGTTTCAATAATGTGTTTGGGTGGCATGCATATTTGTGGTATGACAAGGTTAAAGCTCACAAAATATTTAAAAACCATATTGTCAGGAAAGCATTGTTCAATGTCTGGATAAGATATAAAGACTTATTGGAAAATAAAACCCCAAGGTGGCTATCACCAATGGAGGCACAGGCCCTAAAAAAGTCCAATATGGAGGCCAAGTGGCCAAAATATTGGGAGATCTTGGAACAAGAAGGAGATAAATTCAAATTGCAGAGTTTTGAAAAATTAAAAGATAGAGTGCGAGACTGGTTGCATTACTATCAAATAAGAGAGGTTTATAATTTGGATAGAAAAATTGGCTTCCAGGTGGAAAAATCAAAGTTGGAAACAGAACTGCTAGATCCCAAAACTAAAACACTTTCAAGAATGTATAACTTGCTGCTAAAATGGAATACTCAGGATGAAACGGTAAAATCTGCTATGATTAAATGGGCACAGGATGTTGGACATAACATTATGTTTGCTGACTGGGAACGGTTATGGACCACAGGTACGAAGTTTACAGCATGTAATGCTTTAAAAGAGAATATAATGAAAATGGTGTACAGGTGGTACATGACCCCAGTCAAGCTTGCAAAAATCTATCACTTGCCCGATAATAAATGTTGGAAATGTAAAGAAACTGAAGGTACATTCTTTCACCTTTGGTGGACGTGCCCAAAGATTAAGGCTTTCTGGGAAATGATATATAATGACTTAACAAAGGTATTCAACTATCCCTTCCCTCAGAAACCAGAGGCCTTTCTCCTGGGCATAGTCGGCCAATCGGTGTTTAAAAAGGATAGAACTTTCTTTATGTACGCAACAACAGCAGCAAGAATTCTCATCGCAAAGTATTGGAAGACACAAGATTTACCCACTCTGGAAGAATGGCAGATGAAGGTAATCGAATATATGGAACTGGCTGAGATGACTGGCAGAATCCGTGACCAGGGAGAAGAGTCGGTGGAAGAAGATTGGAAGAAATTTAAAGACTATCTACAGAAATACTATAAAATTAATGAATGTTAAATTGAGGTCTGACTGAAAATAACTGGTATTGGCAAAAGTCTTGTGATTAAGAGCATGGAATATTTGATGGATAAAGCTGTAATATTTATATATAAATAGATTAACTTTGAGTTAAGATAAAGAAAGGAGGGTAAGGATTTGCTGAAAGGAGTTTTTAAATGGAAATACAAGCGGGGAGATGCGGGGAAGTCAAAGAATTAGGTAATGATAAGAAGGTTAAATGAAAGTATATTATTTTTTAAATTTTTCTGTCTCTTTTTCTTTTTTCCTTTTTCTTTTTGTGTTATGGATATTGTTATCTATGTTTGCTTTTTGTTATGGTTATTGTTGTTTTCTGTTTGTCGAATTTTTGTATTTTTCTACATCTTTTGGAATTTGTTTTTGTAAAACCAATAAATATTATTAAAAAAAAAAAAAAATTAAAAAGAGCTGCTGCTGGGTTAAAGGACTAGGGAAATATAGACTGTCTCCCCCTTGAGGTAACTTTCCATAACTTGAGAACATTCTTCCTATCTTCTCCATAAATCCCAAACTGACATGTTGTGCAACCTGGCTGCTATTCTATGCCTACTTAATTCCAGTTAAACTGATTGAATTCATTGACGGATGTGAATTATTCACCCACTTCTGAATAACATATGAATAAAGTGCATCCAAAAATAGGGGTTTTGTCCGTTTTCCTCCTAAACGATAGGTAGCTTCAGGTGCTTTGAAAGACAGTGTTGTATTCAGTGTAGCTCTAAGTAGTGCTTTGCGTGAGCAAAACAATTTCTGCTGTGCAACAGGAACTCCCACCCCCTTCTCCCCGCACACCCCATAATCTATCCTGGAGGTTTCCCCAACCCTCTGGAGGAAATTTGGGTGTGGCATGGGGGGAGGGGTGGAAGGTCCTGCTGCACAAGCAGAAGTTGTTCTGCTCACATATACCCCGCCCCCCAGTTGAAAACTGCTGTAAGAAACAGCTCACGCTTTGCATGCCAGAGGAGGTGTGAAGTGCGGATAATAAAGCTGACTCTGGCAACAAGAAAGTTTCAGGCATAAACTATTATGTACAAATAGCAGATTCAGCAACCATTGTTTGCAGATTGGAGGCTTCAAGCATGAAACCATAAGTTTGGACTGTTTAAACATCTGGGCATTTAGCACTTGGAGAAGTGTAAATGTGCAAGGAATTTCTTTTCCTTTTGAAGGGGCAAACTTCAAAGATAAGTATACTTTCCCTTGATCAGCCGTAGCTCCTGGGGAACATTTATATTTGCCATAGGTGTCCAGTGAAGTGGTAATTCACATATAAAACAGGCAGGGCTTTAGGTTCTGTCACACTTAAGTTCTGGCCAGGAGAAAGGAGAATGATCAAGTATTGCTAGAAAAGTCACCATTTGATCAAATACCAGCAGGGAGAGGTTGCGCAGGGCTAAAGAGGAAGCCAAAACAGCGAGCGGGATCCATCCCGCTGGCTGCCTTGGCTTGTGACATAGCTGCGCGCAACCCCTCCAGCAGGGAGAGGTTGCGTGCAGCCTGTACGCTGCTCTTAGGGGCTGGGGGGGGGAATAAGATTTTTTTTCTTGATTTCCCCCCCTAAAAACTAGGTGCGCCCTATGGTCTGGTGCACCCTATGGAGCGAAAAATACGGTAACTTCTATCCATACAGGTTTATGAAGAAAAGTGTCTGTGTGTTTTTAAAAAGCTGAAACCAGTAGTATTTCAATGTATAGAAAGGCTGCTCCTCCACTATGAACACTTTAACTGTGCTTGCTACTTGAAACTGCACATTCTTGTTCCAGCCTTGCTGTGCTTTCTTCTATGATTTAGTACTAGACTCCCAGAGCTGGTGCAAGCGGGGCTCCCCCTTCTGCTTTTCCTCTGGCAGCAGCGCAAATACCGTCTGCTACTTCAGTGTATCAGCTCTGGAGACATGTCTGTAATTCATATGCAACATGCAAGGGGTTTTTGAGAGAGTAGTATGAGAGAGTGGAGTGTCTGCCCATGTCTGTGGCATTGAATTTTCAGGGATGTAATGACATATCCATTCCTCTAGCGCAGACAGACATTTAACTTGTCTCCTTTTCTTTGTGGTTTTAAAAATCAATTTGATGGTTTTCCTCTTTCTAAAATTATAGAAATTAATCAGGCCTGGTTGCTGATATGGCAAGCTTTATGCATGAATGGATATTTAGTGATGGTGACTTGAAACCGAATATGCAATATGGCTTAGATGCACCCCAACCTACCTCTCTACCTCTAGTGCTTGAGCATTGTTGTACAATATTGCAAATGGATTCCCTTATTTCTAGACTAAAATGAAGCTGAGCTTAGCAATTTAATATTTTTATTTATTTATTAGAAACTGTTGAAGTGTGTGTGTGTATGTGTTTATTTTCTGTGTTCCATTTTGCTCATATATTGACTGACTGTAAATGTATCCTGACAGGTTTATATATGAAACAGAACATTTTAATGGTGTTGCTGAGCTACTTGAGATACTAGGAAGGTAGGTTTACTCTTTTGCCAGTTAGCCAATTAAGTGGTGGTATTATCATTATTATCATTATTGTTACAGTTTATTACTCACCCAAGGTCCTAGGGCAACTGGCAGAGCCATTTGAGCAATGTTCAAAAGATTTGGTGGATTTTGTTCTTGATTTTGCTCCCTGAGTGTGGGAGCAGCAATTCCATGGGTGTTAAACACAGAAAGAGGTGGTTGGAAAATGTAACCATAAATGGGGCTTGCTGGTGATAAATGTAGAACCAAATCTCTGGCCTCTGCCAGCCACTTTCCTCTTTGTAGCTTTTCTCTTTGATTAAAATGCCCCTCAGCCAAGCTCTTATAACAGAAGTGATCTTGGTTGGATATAAAAGGCTTGATGAAAGGACTATGGGGTGATAAATAGTGGACACAGAAAGGGTTTAGCACCCATCATCCATACTACTGCTAAACTTGGCCCTTCTCTTTGTGTTTGGAGTTCCCTCCTTAGGTAAATCAGGACTGCCATAACCACTTCTAGTATGGCCCAGAATGGTGGCTATAAGTAGTAGTAGTAGTAGTAGTAGTAGTAGTAGTTGTAGTAGTAATGATGATGATGATGATGATGATGTTTCTCCTTTGTGTTAGCTTTTATGCCTCAGGTTGCATTTAGCTAATGTACTAACACATTGTTCCAACCCTGCCTCAGGAGCATCCCATAACTGCAGCACTGCCCTGGTACATTGTGAATCCTTTCCCTAGCTTCCTGTTAAATGATTTACACCATAAACTAAAATTGTAGAAACATCATGTGATGCTACAACTATGGGATGACTGCCAGGAACCGAGGTTGGCTGAATATGATGCCTGTGACAGCCTGTCTGTCTCTTCCTTTCTCCAAAGCATTAGTTTTATAGTTAAATTCTTAACTGTGTGACTTTCACCCAAACCATTTCTGCCAGTTCAACTATCGTCTCATCTGAACATTGTTAAAGCAGAGAACACTTTTTCAAAAGAATTCAGTAAGAGGATCCCTCATGGTGACTGGCAACTGGAACATTGCCTAATTTGGGAAGTAAGGTGCTTGAGTTGAAGCCCATCTTCAAAGTATTAAAAAGGAGGCACTCTGAGGCTCACCCCAGTTGCTATGAATTGCCTGTTTGGAGAGCTCTTATCTAAACTAACCCCCTACCACAGATTTGTTTCAATGTTTGTACATGCAATATTCACATGTCATGGAATAGGCTTCTGTACCCTTGTCATGGAATGATCATCATGCAGTTTGCGTGTTTTCCCTTGTACTGGAGTGTGTTCCATATGGAGAACAAAACGTCAGAAGTTCTTAGAAGCTGCACTGAGTTGATACAAACTTAGCTACATTGATTCTGCTTTGGATTGATTTTGCTTTTTGTAACATCAAAAGCACTTGCTGCTCCTGGTTGAAAGGATGGGCATCTGATTGCTGAAGAGGAAGGAGCAAGCCTGATAAACAGTTCCTGAGTTTTGCTTCCCTGTAGTCAATGTCTTCAGCAATAGGATTAATGCAATAAATCTTTACAAAGAAATTTTGGATTTAGTGCATTGATGGATTGATCTTATGCTACATTTTTAATATTAACTGTTCATTTTTATCTTTAAAACAGTACAGTAATAATCTTTCCTGTCTAATTTCTTTCCCCCTACAGTATTATCAATGGTTTTGCATTGCCACTGAAGGCAGAACATAAGCAGTTCCTTATGAAGGTTCTCATCCCTATGCATACTGCAAAGGCTTTAGCTTTATTTCATGCACAGGTATGTCTATCTGTGAATGCTACTGGATTTTAATCTTGATTGGAATACTCTAGGCTATGCAGATATGACCACATGCTCTGATTTTTATTTGTTATTTTTGAAAAAGTTAGCTTACTTTAGTTTAAGGTTTTGGAAATATTTCAGATTCAAGGCAACCCTCGTCACAAGCCTGGCAAATCTGAAACTATACTTGACGATCTGATAAAATTGATAATCTTTACTTGGACTTATGTGCAACTACTCACCTTATGTGTCTATTTTATAGTTGCCTTTTATTTTTTGTCTGTTACAATTGTTTTCTCTGTTTTATATACATATTTTTCTCATGTACTTGGTTGATTCTAGGAATGTACAGGATTTGTTACAGTTGACCTATATATTACAGTTTAGAAAAGTAAAGCATGCACCCGGGAGACATGGCTTTAAGTTGTTGTTGTTGTTATTAAATTTGTACACCACCCTTCATCCATAGGTCTCAGGGCAGTTCACAACATAAAAATACAAGATAAAAACACAAAATACATAATAAAAACAAAGATGAAATGAAAAAATAACACCCATTAAAATAGTAGTAATAATAATAATAATAAATGCCACCCATCCAACTGGGTTGCCACAGCTGGATAAATGGGTCTTTACCACAAGTGTCCTCTTGTTAGGGTTTTATTCTTGTTTTAAATGGATTTGTACTTGTGCTTTTAATTTTCTTATCTGTAAATTGCCTTCAGACAGTGGTTTAGAAGGCAATTAATGAATTCATTACTATTACTACTACTACTACTACTGCTACTACTTACAGTGTCAGCAGTGATGCTCATATTCTTCCTCTTAGTATGTAGTTTCTTTCTCCATCCCCCTTCCCATACTTGGGTTGCATGCTCCTGGCTGTCTTTCCTTGACTAGGAGGAAAGTGGACAACCAACTTTCACTAAACCAGGAGATCCTCTACTTGAAGCTCTCCTGGACCAGTTGTTCCTCCTCCCCTCACAGCAGAGAAGAATGGAGTGCTCGAGATCTGAATTTGAGTCCAGATCTTTCAGATCATAAAGTTTAACCAGAGTTTTATATTAGTCTCATTTTCTGTAGATTTAGTAATTATCTTGTATGGGCCACATGCTTAATTGCCTTTTAAAACAGTGAAAACCTGTGCAATATTATCTTTTTCAACAAAACATTTAAACCTTTTATCTGTGTTTTAGCTGGCCTATTGTGTTGTTCAGTTCCTGGAAAAAGATATGACGTTAACAGAACCGGTAAGTGATGTATGTTCAGTTTGAAAAAAATTGGTGCACTTGGTTTAAAAAATAATAATATTGGTTCCACTATGTTTGTGCAGCTCCTAAAGATTTGTAGAAGATAAAAACATGCCCGTCTCATTGTCCACATGTGCCAGAGGATTTAGAAGCAAGGAAGCGTCAGTGTGAATACAAATAATGATTTGGCTACTAAACCATGCCAAATTTTGCAAGCATGATGGCTTGTTAATAGGAATTGCCTAAGTCATAGATCTAGACTTTGCTTGAATTCTGAACAATTTAAAATAATTGAATTAGCAAGACTCTCGAAATTACTACATAGACTTTTCGCCTCTGGGAATTTTACATTAAGCAGTGCTTATGGTGGACCAGATTTGTTTAACAAAGCTGATATTGATAAACATTTGACCTAAATGAAAAAGTGGAGTTTAGTAGACATTTCTAGCATTACATGTATTTCTTGTCCCACAAATTTGTATCCCACATTTCTGTTAATATGTGCAATACAGACAACAAATGGAACCTGAATAAAGGTATCGTTAAATCAATTTAAGATTGAAAATTAAAGAATGGCGTATTCCTTTGGTGTTTGTTGAAAGATCAGTGTTTGTCCAAATAATTGGGAAGTGGGAAAGACTCCTATATGCCACTACTGGTAGTGTGGTTCTGACACTGAGTGAGCTAGATGGACTAATGGTTTATCTGACTCCTTGTAGTTTCTTGTGTAACGTGTAAATGGTTTTTAAAGTTACCATGTACATTTTTGTACAGATAGAAAAATAAATTCAGCCTCTTAAAAGCCGTGGGTTGAATTCCAAGAGAATAATAGAAGATACTATAACACTAATAAATGTATGAATTATCCTTCGAAAACAGAGCTAAAACAGTTTGAGATATGATTGGAACAGAACTGCACTCAAAGTCAAGATGCATTTATCTAAAATTATATAATTATAGTAATCAAAATTAAGGTAGTCTTTCTGTGCATTGTGAGTGGCTAAATGTATAAATCAATTTTAACAGGTGTGTAATGACTCCTATTAAATTATTTTTACAACCTAGGTTATCAGAGGATTGCTCAAATTTTGGCCAAAAACATGCAGCCAGAAAGAGGTCAGTTCTTATTAATTTCCATATATTGAATTGCAAATAATAATAATAATAATAATTAACAGGCCAGCATGTCTGAACGCTGTTTATTCTAGCTGTAATATTGCTAATAAGTAGGATTCTACTCATATTTTAAAAATAATTGTCTTAGCACTGAAGTCCATCCCTTTGTGGTCGGTGTCTGTATATGGAGGTATCCCTCTAGCGCTCAAGAGTTTGGTTACCAAATCCCTCTAGAATAACTTGCTGTTTGTCACAGATCTGTTGTGTAGCCACTTGTGATGTGACTAGAATCAAGCCCACATGCTTTTCTTTATAACAGGTCATGTTTTTAGGTGAAATTGAAGAAATCCTGGATGTTATAGAACCAACACAGTTCAAAAAAATACAAGAACCTCTCTTTAAACAGATAGCCAAGTGTGTGTCAAGTTCACATTTTCAGGTATAACATGGCATTTTCAAAAATTTTAACAGACTCTATGCAACCTCACAGTCCTGATAATTCCTGTATGTATATTTCAGGTTGCTGAAAGGGCTTTGTACTTCTGGAACAATGAATACATTCTGGGTCTGATTGAGGAGAACATTGATAAAATTCTGCCAATTATGTTTGGTAGTTTATACAAGATCTCCAAAGAACACTGGAATCCGTATGTATTTTTTAGCATTCAGTCTTTCAAAAGTTCCTTCAGATATTCATACAGTAACTGCTGTGGTTGTGGGATAGCTTAGTTGGTAGAGCATGAGACTCTTAACCCATCGGTCATGGATGCTTTCGTTTAGATTCCTGCATTTCAGGGGCTTGGACTGGATGACCTTTGGGGTCCCTTCCCATTCTACAATTCTGTGATTCTATGATTTCAGGGTTGTGGGTTTGAGCCCCACATTGGGTGAAAGATTGCTGCATTGCAGGGGTTGGACCAATCTAGTTCAGCATCATGTTCACATAAAGGGTAGTCAAGTCCCTATGGGAAGCACACAAGCAGGACATGAGCACAATAGCACTTTGCTGCTCCTGCTTCATAGCAGCTAGTGTTCATACTGCCCCTGATACTGTACGTAGAACAAAGGCTACTAGTTATGATAGTTTATGTTCCAGGAATTTGTTTAATCTGCTTTTAAAGCTGTCCAAGTTGGTAACCATCACTACATCTCACAGTACCTGTCAGCCTGCAACTTGGGTTCATTTAACTTGTGCAAATTCAGCTTTAGGCATGTGGGGGGGGAATTAAAAGGGGGCGAAGGGGGATGGGGTTCTGGGAAAAATGAGTTTGGCAATCCCACCTGGCACTGAATGCAATGGGTTTCGACTCTATGCAATTTTCGGTTTCAGGCACGATCCCCAGAATGCAACGCCCACGTCAGTTGCGGGCCTACTGTGCTGAATTCCACCATAGATTTGTATAATGACACTGTGATGCCTGCATTTTAATTTTCAATCCCTTTCATAAGGATTCCAAATGTGGAATTCGCCTGTTTCATAGCTGCCACAAATTGGGTTGGCATTTTTGTCAAGCTATCTATCATGGCCCCAAGATCTCTTTCCTCACTAGTCAGCACTAGTTCAGACCTCATTGGCATATATATGGTTAGAACTTTTTTGGCCCCAAATGGGCATCACTTTGTGCTTGCATTGAATTGCAATAGCAATTTTACTGCCCATTCAACCCAGTTTGGAGAGATTGGTTTGTAGCACCTTTATAATCTTTTTTTTCTTTCTTTCTTTTTTTTTTTTACTAACCTGAACCATTTGCTGTTAGTAGCAACCTTGGTCACCTCACAGCTGACCCCTAACTTTAGATCATTTACATTTACCAGTCCCAGTAAAAATCACTGGAGGGAACACTCTATTGGGAGACTTAATCTGTTTATTCCTGCCCTCTCCTTCCTGTTCTTTAACCAGTTACTGATTCTTAAGAGGACCTGTCCTCTTACTCCTTGACTGCTAAGCTTAACCCAGGAGTCTTTGGTGAGGGATGTTACCAAGAGTTGTTGTTTTTAAGTCTTCAGTACACAATATCTGTTGGAACACCCCTATTCACATGCCTATTGATTGTCTCAAAGAACTCAAATAGGTTAGTTGGATAGGATTTAACCTTGCAGAAACTGATTCAAGGCTTAGGCACAATCTGCACTATACATTTCACAGAATCATAGAACCAGAGAGTTGGAAGAGACCCCAAAGGTCATGGTGGCTCTTGATTATCACTGGCAATGAATTTATTGTGTGTGTGTGTGCAGATTATGAAAAATAGTGTCTCTCTAGAAGGAGTATCACAAAATGAAAGACTGAGTGAAATTTGTAGACAAATCTGCTCAGGAAACACAAAAAATTATTTTCTTGTTTCTTCAAATGGTTTTAGATAAACTTAAGTTCTAACTGAGTCCTTGTAAATGGAAGCCATTATGAAAGTGCTTTCTTTCTTGCAATTGTAGCATTTATAACATTATTTGAACATAGGAATTTGTTGAAAATAGCATTCCCTATTTCGATGTTACATTGTGATGCATACCAAACGCTTCCAATATTTGAACTATGTAATATTACAATGGTAACAATCAGTTCAGCTGGATTAGCTGGAACTCCTTCCCAGCGTTTTGTAACTTGAAAGGCAAAAGTCCCCAGTGTACAAGTTGAGTCGTGAAGCTGCAGATATTCAAGAGAGAACATCTGTTTTAAACCTAATTGATTATATTGCTGCCTTGTATTTTATACAGAATGGAAACAAAAGTCAGACATTCAAGACAAATGTTGGAACACAACATTTCTCTCTTAATTTAACATTCTACTTTTCCTTTTCTTCTAGGACCATTGTGGCATTAGTATATAATGTGCTGAAAACACTGATGGAGATGAATGGGAAACTGTTTGATGAACTCACAAGTACTTATAAAGCAGAAAGACAAAGGTATTTACTTCTTTCACCCACCTCCATTTTGACTATACAAAATGTGCCTGCAAACATCCTCTAAATTAATGCTAATTTGACATTATGGTAAATTTGTAGCTAAATAAATCTCTCCCCACTAGCCTCATCAAGCAAACCTGATGCTGGTCAGGAAGGCAGCTCTGTGGCCTTGTCCTGCCATGCCAGTGGCACCTGGTAGAGACCTTGTAAAAGTGTCCTGGCACTGTCAGATGTGCAACTAACAATGACATGACACAGGGCCTTTTCAGTAGCAGCACCTAAGCTGTGGAACTCTTTCCACTAGGTAGGAGATCTGTGTAACCCCTTCCACTACAGTCAAATACTCTTTAAAAACCTTTTTGTTTTGCTGGGTCTTCAGTTCCTTTTTTATCCTTTGTTTTTCCTGTCAAGACAGTTCCTATATGTGGCGTTTTGCTGCTTCTGTGTTGATCAGTGTATTGTTTTATTATTTGCTTTGTGATTTTGAGTTTACACTGAAAAGCTACCTTGAAGGATGTTTTGGGCAGAAATGTGGTCTAAAATATTCCTTATAAATCTGTTCAAGGAACGGATCAATTTTCCATCCAAGTTGCTGGGGCACTGAGTATTCCTGGCATAACATTGCCACTCATTCTCTCCTCCCACTTCCCAGTCCTCTCAACATTGGAAAGGACATTGTTCTTCTTTCAGAGAGGACAGCTTTTCTGATGCCAGCACCTCTATTAAACTCCTTTATCTGCAGTGGATTGGAAAGTCACCCCAGAGCCCTCTGGGCATCTCTCACTACTTGTCCAGCAACCTGGGAAGAAGTGCCTCACATGATGCTGTTGGGCCAATCCAGGAGCTGTGTATGAGGTCCACTTCAGAACCAGTAGGTGCTGTGGGTCAGATGCGGCTTGTAAGCTGCCAGTTAGCCACCAACAGGCAGTGGACACCAGCTCATGCTATGATAAACAGGACTTCTGATACGCTTGCTTTATCAAACTCGTTGAGTGCACAGCAACCAAAGACTCACATTGCTGTACTTTTCTACAGAGAGAAGAAGAAAGAGCTGGAACGCGAAGAACTGTGGCAAAAGCTGGAAGAACTAAAGCTAAAGAACGCTGTGTCTGACCAGCCGAGCAACACGTCCTCCGTGACAAATGCACAAAATGATCAAGTGCCAAATGAGAGAGACAGCCTCTCTTTGTGAGGCATGTTTTATACACATTTTTTTAAAAAAAACTATGTAAAAATGCAAAAGAGAAACCTCATCAGTATATTTGAAATGGCCATTTTTCCCCCCTCTGGCAAAATGTAAATGAAATTTTTTGAACTTAAATACAATAATTGAATGTGACATTATTTACCACAGCATATTGTAAATTTGTCTCTAATCATTGCTATATTGTCACTTCTGACATTTCATAGAAATGAACTTTATCATCCATGATGTGTGTGATTTAATTATGGGAGTGGTGAAAATTATGACTTGAATTTTTCTCTTTTTTTATTGTGTTGCACATAGGCATAGAAGCCAGCTATTTACATTTCCCTCCAGTGTGCTTTCACATTACTCCAGACTTTGGCTGAGATTCTGGAAGAAACTTCTAGGTTTTCTGTATTTTTTCAGATTAATGCTGTAGTTGTATTCCTACTTATATGGGAGCTAGCCCCATTGAACTTAATAGGGCTTGCTTCTGAGTAAATGTGTCTAGGATTGAATAGCAATCTGTATCTGAATGAGATATTCATCATCTGTCCATTACAGATTTCAGAGCTATTCCTACATAAAGAGGTTCAGAGAGCAAAGCGCTATGGGGAATGGAGTGTAAATGAAGCACAAGTTAAAAATATGATACAGCACATGTGAGCTTTATGATTGAATAAAGAGAAACTGTCATTGGCTTCCACTCAACAGTTGCTTTGCTGTGCTTGGCTCTCATGTCTCTCTTTAGTGAGAAATCAGTCATTATCTGTCTGGTCCTGTAACTGGGGGTGGAGCCAATCAATGGAGCTCCTAACTTAGCTCAGGACTCCTTGTAGAGAGCCTAGCAGTTTTTGCTTTCAGCTTGGCTCTGCAAGATGGTCCAGTCTCTTATTAAAGGTGCAATTCCTATTCGGGTATAGAAACATCTGTGTGACAAAACAGTTCCTTGTTTTGCTTTAAGAAAAATACAGTGTGCTTATTTAAGATGGGAAGCTGACTCTAGAAGTCTTGTCTGTTTTTTACTTGATCAGGTGGTGTGTTGTTCTTTTTTTTTTTTGCAGAACTTTCTATCAGAGTACCATTCCAGTCTCTTAAATTGCAATTGTGCGGAAAATGGTTTTGTATTGAAAGATTGAGGGATTGAGCAGCATCAATAAAGTCTTTATGTTTGTAATTAGTGCTGTATATTACCATCTTTGTAGTTTTACCATGCCAGACAGAAGGATGCTTGTGGTGTGGTTTTTTTTGGGGGGGAGGGCTCTCAAGAAAGGTATTCAGATTTATGTAAAATATAATGAAATGACTGAACAAAACATGGGCTGTGAAACTGAAAAGGAGAGAAGTTGGCAAAAGAAATGTATGTACATAAGTCTCTGGTGTAGTTCTAAATGAGCCTTTGTACAGAGAACACAAGGTGGGATTCAACTGAGTCCCATCAGCGGTAGCCTTGTGCAAGGACCTTCTGCTTGTGCATTTTCCCCTCCCCCATGTGCCACCCCCTCCCCGAACTGTGGACCCCAGAACTGTGTGGAGAGGGGAGGATCAGTCCATATGGCAAACTGAAATTGTTGTGGTGACAAAATGAGGCTACTCCTACATTATATGATCCTTAGTTTCACTTTCACTTCATTGGCTAATCTCTTTCTCAGTTTGGCATGGGATACATACACATGGAAAGCTATGTTCTGTGATTCCCCCCCCCCCCCCAGCCACTGACATGCAATTAAACCGATTTGCTGTAACATGCTCCCTCTTGACTGCCCCCTTCAGGTCTGTCCCTGCCTTCACCCAAAGCTGATTTGGATTCTCTCTTCTTATTCCATCTGCTTTTGAGCTCAGGATTTGTCCTTTGTTGCATCACAATTTGATTTCTGTGGACTTCAAATAGCAAAACAATAAAATACAAGATATAAGAAATGAAAGGGAGGTGGAGGAACTGCTAAATCCAAAGACCTGCTGGGCTGCCACTGGTAGGTCAGGTGGTAGTATATTGGGGCAGGGGATTCTTTCCTGACTCTTCTCCCCACCACTAAAATAGTAAAACCCAGAAGTGGCTCCTTGTGTACAGTGTTTGTAAATATGCACAGATTTTCTATTAGGAATTTCTCGTGATGGTGGGCAACTGAGATAGTCAACAATGCTTCTCTAGGCATTTTGACTAACTAGCTAGGTTCTGCTCATGTTGTTGTAGAACCAATGAAGGCAAGATGTTAGTCTAATATTGACTAGCTTTTCAGTGTGCAGTTTTGCTTCTGCAGCCGCACAACTCTACTATCACACAGCAGAATTGTACCCTGTTCTCACGCAGGCAAGACAAGGGGTCTGAAAGTTGGAGGGCCTTGCCTAATGGACCAACAAGAATAGTTTGAAAAGGTAAGTGTAGGAGACAGATGTAATTTTACTGAAAAATCTTCAGAACACAAATACATTTTAGTCCAATAGGAAAGCTTGATAAAATTCCAGTGCTTCTGTTTTGCGGTGAGAGCCCCTTTCAATGCTAACTTCAGTGAAAGCCAATCTAGTCTATCTGTCCTCCTGAAGCTACTGCAAGTTGAATGTGGATTAGAGGCAGGCACTGTGGAGTTCATACTCCTTCAGGAGGGAATGCCGAAGGCTGAAACTGCTATTAATACCATATAGTCAGCCACTGTTGACCATACTAATTTCCATCACTTGGGTGTGAGTCAGTTAAGAGATTAACACTGATCCAATACACAACTAGTGCCCAGAATTTTACTAGTAATATACTTTCATCCTTTGAGGTGTGCCTCTCTGCTAGAGCAATGCTTGGGAGATTTCTCTGCCTTAAGATTCAATCAGATAATCGTTCCTCTAGCACAGTACCACCCACTGACTGACAGCATATCTTAAACCAGAAGTGCTGTAGGCCCTGAAAGCTGGAGTCTTTCCCCCTGAGATATTAACTAAAGACCCAAGCGACAAAAACTGTGCCTTGGGCGTGCAACATGATTTACTAATCTTAACTCTGAAGCAGACATCCCATTTTAACATAGGCAGAAATGTGTTTAAAAGAGGCCAGTTCTGTTTCCCTGCAAACTAAGGGCCCTGTCTGTCTATCCTTCTTGTGAGTTCTGTTAAAATAGGGTTAAATATAGTTTTGGGAATCTTCCTAGAAGTTCAGAGCTTAGTCAAAGGAGCTCAGGTTTCTAGAAAAGAGCATGGATTTAGAAGGAGCTTCTTATACAGTTTTCTGAAACTTCCAAGTGTCCAGTGTATTGTACTCAAGTTAAGCAAGTCCTCCTTCTGCCATTGCAGCTTTTCTGTCCAAGGTACCTGAAGGCTAGTTTAGTCTCAGGCCACCCGTGTTCCCCAGTGTAACAGAAAACTCAGTAGCGCTCAGCCCTCAGCTTATGTGGTTCAAGGCTTGAGTTCTTCTCTGAAGGTGCCGCTTCCGGATTTTTATCATCCACTTCACACTGAGTTTGGCAAAATCGGCTGCTTTGAACAAAGCCAAGAAAATGCCGCATAGAATTGCAATCATGTTCCAAGCATTTGCAGTGACAATCTATTGAAAGAGAAAGAAAAGCTATGGTTGAGAAAGACCTAAGTTTACAGTGCAGGTTTTCTTCCTCAGCTATATTTTTTTGACCTTCATTGCAGGTTTTTTAACTAATATTTTGATTTGTAGTTACTGTAAGTGAAGGCTCTTCATAGCTTCAGCCTCCCCCACCGCATCCCAGCCACCCGAGGGAGAAAAGTTGCACTCCAACACCATTTTCCTCCATGCACAATCCTACATGTCCAGGGGCTGGGAATAAATTGCCCTCTTAGGAATGTAACAGCCCCGCTGATCAGATCAGATCAAAGACCTATCTGATCCAGCATCCGGTTGCCACTGTGTTTCGTAGCCCTCTCTTGTTCTTGTTCCCCAGTAACTGGTATTCAGAGCCACACTGCCTCTTAATACTGGAGGCAAACGGAGAGAGCTGTTTCTACGAAGAACATTTTCCAAGCAGTCTTTCCAAGCCTGCTGTCTGATGTCCCTTCACCATCAATGATTGAGGCAGGAACCTACATACAGGTCTAGTTTGCACATCAAGCTAAGCGCTTTTGGAGATGAAACAGAGCCTACTTTCTTCCTCCCGTGTGTTGATGGAACACACAAAGGGGGTCATGGAGTTGTGTGGGCTAATCCAACTCCCAATGCTCATGGTGGTCATTCTTCTCCCATGCCATGTGCAGAAGATCCGTATATTTACCACTGCTGTATGCAATTAGATATCTGCTCATTCACATTTGGGAGGGGCTGCTAATTGGTCTAGGGGCTCCTGCTTGTGTGGAGAACTACACAAATACTTGGGCACATCTGTATTTATTTAATTTATACCCCGTGCAAGGAGTTCAAGGTGGCGCATTTCAGTGGTCCTTCCATATTAAAAACAGTGAAGACCTTACTTGCACATACGTAACATTTAGCGTCAAGGAAAAGTTATCCTAACCTTTTTTTGGAATGTGCAGGTAGCAGTGAGTAGTGAGCATTTACATTTTGCCTCCAATGCAATCCTCTTCCATGATGGATCCTCATACTATTTAAGCTGAGAGTCACCAAGCTAGGATACAGCATGATGCTCTTAATCTCAGGGTCATGAGTTTGAGCCCCCCATTGGGAAAAAGATGCCTGCAGGGCAGGGGGTTGGACTGGATGACCCTTGCGGTCCCTTCCAACTCTACAATTCTATGAACAACCCTATGAGGTAGATTAGGCTGAGAAGCAGTGACTGGCCCAAGGTCACACAGTGAGATTCCTGGCTCAGTGGGGATTCGAACCCAGGACTCCCAGATCCTAGTCTGACACTTTAACCATTACACCATGCTGGCTCTCCCATACAGCCCCTTCCCATGCCTGTCAAGTTTTGGACAGCAGAGGAGAGCAGAGGCTATGGCACACATTGTCATGGGAACGGGACTAGTCCATACAGCGTCCCAATTCCCACCTTCCCGGTCACACATTCTTTAAGCAACCCCAATTAAAGCCATCTACTCAATTTCCAATCGTTGTGGACATTTTTGTTTGGCTTTTTAAGAGGCCTTGCATCTAGTTTACTCACATCTTGAACTTCCTGAATAAAAGGGTCTTTCCATTCGAATACAACAAAGAAGAGTTGGTCACCGCTTGCTTTTGCTCTTCGTTCAATGTAGTTCACCACACTGATCTGGCGACAGGGCAAGGGGGGAAAGAGTCTTGCCGTTAGTGTGTCATATAATCCGCTCCAGAATACATATTCCCAGTTTAAAGGGTTAGAAATCCAAAAGCTGAACATCAAGAAGACAAAGGATATTAAACTGATGGGCCATTTTGAGGCTAGACTTCAGTGAACAAAATCACACTCTGATGTTGCCACTGAAGAACACTGCTGGGTCAGGCTAATGGTCCATCTAGCCCAGCGTCCTTTTCTCACAATGGCCAACCAGATGATGATGGTGATGGTGATTTATTAAGTTTGTATACCACCCATCATCCACAGAGGCCTATGGGAAGCTTGCAAGCAGAACCTGACAGAGGAGGCAGAACGTAGCCATTATGACTGATAGCCATCGATAGCTTTATCTTCTAGCATCCTCTGCCTCTTGTCATGTTCAGTGGTACCTTGGGTTACAGATGCTTCAGGTTACAGACTCTGCTAACCCAGAAATAGTGCCTCGGGTTAAGAACTTTGCTTCAGGATGAGAACTGAAATTGTGTGGCAGCGGCGCAGCAGCAGTGGGAGGCCCCATCAGCTAAAGTGGTACCTCAGGTTAAGAACGGACCTCCAGAACGAATTAAGTTCTTAACCAGAGGTACCACTGTACTTTGTAAGAAATTAGGGGTGCTGATTTTATCACGTTCTTCCAAGGGACAAGTAGCTTTTTCCAAACATGCTACAGATTCAAGACAGAAGCATGTGGGGAATTCTAAAAAACAGATTAATTCGGCTCACAAAGGAAACTGTTCCCTGGCATTCATAGCCGCCTCTTGTAACTATTCACTTTTGGGATTTTGTTACCCTACCTTTTCTACTCCAATACGGGAGCTCAAGGTGACCTAAGTCTTATAAAAACGATACCTGCACCACCCGCCTCCTGGGGAAAATGCGCTCAAACCACAGAGTAAAAGAAAACAACAGCAGAGCACAAAAGGGTGAGCCATGCAATCTAATGGAAGAAAACACAAGGTCTTGAGCTGGTGCCGTAAGACCATCTATGAAAGAGAGAAGTGAATCTCTTAAGGACAGAGTGAAGTCCACAACCTGGAGACCAAGGGCAGCCATCCTCCCCACCCAAGGAGATAACACACTCATGCACACAGTTTGTTGAGAAACAAAAGCCAAACACCGATTATCACTGAAGACTCTCAAGACTCCTGCCTGCTGTCATGTGCTGCTCTCTGGATGCCTTCGACTGTGGTTTGCAAGAGAGACCCAAGAACTGCTGCATCCATTTTTTCACAGACACATTACTTAATGCAAAGACACTGGCGGAAATGCACTGAGTGCAAAGGAGCTGAGGGGTGGCGGGTGGTGAGGGAGAGAGGAGCTATGCCCAGTCGCTTTGCCCTTGCTAAACTGGAAGGGTGGGCAGGTGCTTAACAAGAGAGACTAACCTTCCCTAAAGGCTGAGAATCTCTCTCTGATCTTTGTGAAACATCATAGCCTTCAGCAAGCAGAGGGAGCAAAGAGGGAACAGTTGCAGGTTGAATTTAAAGAGAAAGAGAGTCAAGACATTTAAACAAGAGTTCTGTGCAACATTTGCTCTTAGTATCCGATAGGTGTGCTTCTTGTGTTCAATACCTGCTTGCTTCCAATCTGCTCTATTTATATTCAACCAATCTGCAATGCACAGCTTGTGGCTACAGCACTCAGTCTGGCTTTTTGTCTCTCCTTCCATTGCCACTCCCTGTCTCCCTGCTTTGGGTTAACATCCTTCCCGAGGAAAAGTTTTAGGTGAAGCCTGCTTGCTATTTTCTGATCACTTGGCCAGTCCTCATCCTTGCCTGGCTGTGGATTTTGGATTTCTTACAAAAGCACCCGGAATCTCCGGAGCTCACGAACATCCAAAAGGAAAATCTGCTCTCTCAAGTGCTGCCCATGAACTTCTTGACACTCTGGGAAGTGGGAAGTGCACGAGAAGGACAGAGAACATGCAGGATGAAGAGTCACTAAAGCACAAATGCTGAGCTGCATCCTCTGTCACTCCGATTAGTCTCTGGCACCGTGTCCCTTATGGGAGCAGAAGGAGAACAAGGTGGCACTACGTCTTGCAGAAAGCGCTTGCAGAATCAAGAACCTGCATGGTGTGAACACCCCACCCCCAGCAACGAAAGCTGTGTTTTGCTGCCTCCTTACCTCCTGCCTGAATTCAACCGTCTCCCGGCCATCTTCTTCTTTCGTTTTCACCAGAGACATTTTGACCCAGGTTCGGAAACCACTGGAAAACTTCCAGCTGGAGTAGGAACTCTCACAGGTCTTCATAAAGTCTGGCTTGTTTGGACTGCGGTAGAAGGAGGTAGTGTTAGTTTGGGAAACAAAAAGAAGCTGACACGTTCTGTGTAAGGACCTTCGTGGTGTGGAAATTTAGCAAGTGGTAGTGTTGGCTTTATAGACGTTGGTTATCGGTTTTGCTACAAGACCCCCTAATTAACTATACAGTGGTACCTCGAGTTACATACGCTTCAGGTTACATATGCTTCAGGTTACAGACTCCGCTAACCCAGAAATAGTGCTTCAGGTTAAGAACTTTGGTTCAGGATGAGAACAGAAATTGTGCTCTGGTGGCGCGGCAGCAGCAGGAGGCCCCATTAGCTGAAGTGGTGCTTCAGGTTAAGAACAGTTTCAGGTTAAGTACAGACCTCCGGAACGAATTAAGTACTTAACCCGAGGTACCATTGTACTTAACATTTATTAAGCCCTTTTGTGCGTTGGGGTGCGTATTATCCTTACAATACCCCTCCTGGGTAAAAAAGGTGAAGGACCCCTGGAGTCAAAGTCCAGTCAAAGGTGACTATGGGGTTGCAGAGCTCATCTTGCTTTTAGGCCGGCGTTTGTCCGCAGACAGCTTTCCGGGTCATGTGGCCAGCATGGCTAAACTGCTTCTGGCACAATGGAACACCGTAATGGAAACCAGAGTGCGCGGAAACGGTATTTACCTTCCCGCTTGTGCTGGTATGCTTTTGAACTGCTAGGTTGACAGGAGCTGGGATAGAGCAACGGGAGCTAAGCCCTTCTCGAGGATTTGAACCACTGACCTTCTGATTGGCAAGCCCAAGAGGCTCAGTGGTTTAGACCACAGCACCACCTGCATCCCCAACAGCCCTCCTAAGGTGCTATTATCCCAATACTGCAGATGTGGGAATGAGAAACTGAGTCTGCCTAAGGCGGTGAGTTCACGCAGAAGGCAGATCTGGATACTTCGTGACTTGTAGCTTAGTCTTTTAGCTAACACACTCTTTGAGTCTTGAATTCACTTAAGTGGAATTCTGCAGTGACCAATTTCTTGTCAGATAAAACTGAAAAGGCACATTTTGAAGGCTTGTCTCTAGCAGCTGTGAGATGTGATTTCACAATGAGAATGCCTTGAAACACGTGCAGAGTGGCTTCCCTTGGTGGCTACATAACCACAGCCAGGCCTAGAGCACCTGAAATTTGGAAGCGCATAGGTATAAAACATGAAAACTCTCCTTCAATGGAGGCACTGTAGCAGAGGCTGGACAACCATCTGTCAGGGATGCTGCGCTGAGCAGAGGGTTGTCCCAGATGACCTTCAGCATCCCTCCTCTCTGCCAATGAGGCGTGAGTTCCTTCTAGATTCCAGCCCCTGTATGGAAAGTCAACTACAACAGCCTCTGGAAATACATTTGCAGACAAATGTAATGGGCACACCAACAGCAGGGAGATGAGAGTTGCGGCATTCAACTCTTCCATGACATCTGAAATCGATTTTCCATTCTGTGTTCTTCCAAGGCATTTAGCCTAACTCGCACGAAGAGCCATTCTGACAGATACATATATATATTTTCCACAGCTCGGTAATAATCCACTGCATAGTCACCGACAGCATGAGGCTCATATTTCATAAACAGCAACGGCAGCAGAGTCCTTGCTGCCTTTCCTGCCACATGAATCTCCTTGGGCTGGATGCTGTAGAAGCTGTAGGGCAGGGGTTGGCAACCTAAAGCCCATGGGACAGAAGCGGCCCACGGAGGCCATTTAACTGGCCCATGAGCCACCCCCAACTGAGCCACCGCCTCCTTAACAGCACCTTGTGCACAGACCCAGCATCATACTGTAAATCTCTTCTCCCAAGGCCTGCAGGAACCTGGAGTCAACAGTTTTTAAACAGGATGGTTTTTTAAAAGGAAGGAAACTTGATGCACCCCGGGGAATTGCACTGGCAAAGGGGAGTTGCAATATAGCAGAGACCATTTCCAGAAGACTATGAATTCAAACAGGATTTCTTATGCAGCTCATATGAGCATGAAATCATGCCGGCTGTTTCAGAACAATTTAACATAATAATATTTAATTTAACACAGTTTTGTATGAGAGGCAGTATGGTGTGGTGGTTAGAGGACTGGACTAGGACCTGGGGGACCACTGAAGCTCTCTGGATGACCTTGAGCTAGTCACCTTTCTCTCGGCATAAAACCTACCTCACAGGGTTGTTGTGAGGAGAAAGTGGGCAGGAGAAAGGATGCACTGCCACTTTGTGCTCCTTGGAGAAGAGAGACAGGATATAAATGTAATACCGAAATCACTAAACTAATTCTGCTTCAAGCCGGCATAAGCAGCAGGCTAATGATGCAAGGGAGGGAACACATACTTGCAAAGCCCATACGTTGTTGTGAATCCAAGAGAATTCAGCATCCTGAGGAATCTCCACCTTCATTTAAGAATAAAGCACGTTTCTAGTCCTTATGGCTTGAGACTGTTGGGAGTCAATATTCAGCGGCCTCCCAAAAAGCAGAAGAATGACCAAAAAATTAGAGCCAGAAGGGAAGTGGCTAGCTGAATCTAGCACTAAAGGTCCAACGAAAATTGTGTCTATTCCTTGGAGACTTAATGCATTGTTAATATAGATGAATGCCTGTTCTGGGCCAAAATCATTCATTTTTCCTTTCTTTTCAATCCTGCCGCTACCCCCACTCCCCTCTGAATGTCTTCAGCCTTGTCCCTCACTCTGTCATGAGACTCACTCAAGATGGAGGTGTATGGCCCTAATGTGGATTTTAATTTTTTCCCTTGAGTACAGGCTTTCAAAGCCTTGCAGACAACAGAAGAAGGTTTGTGCTTTAGGGTGTGTGAGGGGTGGGGGTTGGCACTAAGCAGAAATAAAGAATCGCAGCCAGGAAAGGGCTTTTATTAATATCACTGCTAGATGGTTCCTTTCCTCTCCCACTTAAGTTTCCATGGAAGTTATTGACTCAAGGAGGCTTCCGATGGAAATATAAATGCTTCCCCTCGACTGTCTTGCAGAGCTTCTTTTGCTCCATTACCAGGCTCGGCTGGGCCTCCTAATTATTCAATCTTACCCACTACAGTTTCTGAAGCCTCCACATTCTCCGGCTAATTGTGGGTTACCAAGGCAGCCAAATACGCTGTGTGGGGAACCCAAAAGAGGAAGTGCAGGATTCTCAAGTATGATTCACGCTAAGCTTAATTTACATGGAACACTTCTAAGCAGGCAATTACACAGAATTCACTTAGATGCAGGGCCTCAAAGAGAGACTCTCAGAGTCTAGTTTAAGGCCTGTGTAAATGGATCGCATGCTACTCCGTTGCCTAGAAGCATGAATTTATCTTTGCATGCAACCCAGCACACAGGACAAATCCTGCTTGACTTCAGCCAGGCATCCCCAAACTTGGCCCTCCAGCTGTTCTGGGACTACTTCCATCATCCCTAGCTAACAGGACCAGTTGTCAGGGATTATGGGAACTGTAGTCCCAAAACAGCTGGAGGGCCAAGTTTGGCCATGCCTGACTTAAGCCCTGTACAGACATGAGGAGGGGTCAGCAGGGACAAGCATGTTTGCTCCATCCCGTTCATTGCCTTCCATCTGCATGGACAGCAGTCTTCAGAAGCAGAGAGCCTCTGGTATTCATGAGGCAAGTGGAAGAAACTGATTGCTCACCTGTGGATCACCTGAGTCTTAATTACTGGACTCCATCCTCTTCCTACTTGGTTGCTTAAAGACTTACCTGTGCACTGTATACCCACCAGAGTTGTTCCTTTTGTTTCCTTCCCTCTCCCTTTTACTCAATAAATCCTAGCTCTTGTTTTTAATCTATTCTGTAAAGTTGCCCATTGGTTTCTTCCCTTCTTTCATTCAGGAAATGTAGGGGCTTGGTGGTCTTTAGGTACCATAGGGGACCCCCTGAAATTCATCCCATGACTGTGTGAAGCCAGCTCCCATAGTTCCTTCCAAAGCAAGCAGTGGATGGGATGAGTCACTGAGAGGGAACACGGGCTCACACATGTTTCTCTCTGCTTTTCTCCACTCACGTGAGGTAGGTGAGGCTGAGAGGCAGAAATTGGCCTAATGTCACCCGGTGAACTTCACGGGCAAATGGGGATCTGAACCTGGGGTGCCTTAGTCCAACACTCGAACCACGATGCTCTTTACTGAACAGAAATTATGAGGAGAGCAGCTGTACCTCTCGAGGAAATCCTGGAATGAAGAAAAGAGAAGGTAGTCTATTGCGCTGAAATCCTGGTCCGTTTCATTGAGGTAGAACTGCATGAACACCAGTTCCTGCTGCTTCACATCACGAGGTCCTTCGACAATCACAGCAAATTTCTATGAGCAGAAAGATCAGTCAGAGGAGACACATGGGAAGAGGAGTAAGATGAACAAAAGGGAACCTTTGCATTTTCTGTCAATGTATCTCTGGATTGATTAGGATATTTTCTGGTGTTAGGACAGGGGTCAGGGATGATGGGAGTTGGAGTCCCATTTTCTGGAGGGCACCAAGTAAGCCACTCCATCCTCCAACCTCACTTTTCTATGTCAGCTACAGGAGTATAATAATAATAATAATAATAATAATAATAATAATAAATTTTATTTATACCCCGCCCTCCCCAGCCAAGACCGGGCTCAGGGTGGCTAACACCAAATATAAAAACAATTGATTGAAATACGGCTTAAAAAACAAGATTAAAATACAACATAAAAACATTAAAATGCAGCCTCATTTCAGTGGAAACTCAAATCATAATAAAAAATACTTCAAAACAAAACCTAAATGAAACATCAACACCTCCAGAACTAACCCTTAAGTTACAAAGTGAAGGATCCCTGCAGCGGATCACTTCCAAAACATGTGCTATCATTTTCTGTTAAATACCATGCATAAAGAAGTCGCTCCCAAGACCTGCCCCAACATCAGGAAGGGCTCCTCTATAATTAACAGGCACTTGATTAGGTCTTCAAGCAGAGACTGGACACAGCCATCTGCTGGGGAAGCCATAGCTCTGGACTGCCTGCATCAAGGAGGAGTTTGGAACAGGTGGCCTACAAAGCTCCCTCCAACTCTGCGAACTACAACTCCCATCAGCCCCAACCAGCAAGACCAATGGCCAGGGATGATGGGAGTTAGGGCCCAATGACATCTGGAGGACCACAGATGGTCCCCATCCCTTCCCTAGCAGCAGCTATGGCGACAGTTGTCTCAAATAGAATCATAGAGTTGGAAGGGACCCCAAGGGTGATCTAGTCCAACCAACTGCAACGCAGGAATCTCAGCTAAAGCATAATTTGGAGCCAGTCAGTTTCCCCGCTCTGTTACGCAGTGGCACTCCAAGATAAGTGACGTTGTCTGATGGTGGGATTGCAGCCACTCAAGGGTTTCCCAACTAACTTGAGTCCTTCCTCTGAATGATTACCTTTGTTCCATTAGCAAAAGGATCTGTGTAGTTGATTCTCTGAGTAGTGCATTCAATTTCTCCTGGCTGGCCAGGGTTTACCAGAGGTGGGATGTAATTGTGTAAGTGATGCTTGCAGGTCAGCAGCTCAGCCTTGCCTGGGTAGAGGGCAATACCTGTTTGGAAGAGCAACGTTACATTTCTAATGAACGGGAACCATCACAGACACAGCATTGCTTACACATCACACAGAATGTGGTGTGAGAGTGAGTCAGGATGGGTAGAATGTTGGGCCAGACTGACCACAAAAGCCACAAATTTTGGAAGCAGCCTTATAGCGCATTGGCAGAAAGTCTGAAGTTCGCATGCAGACAAAGTTCAGTCCCTAGCTTCTTCAGACAAAGGATCATAGGGATGAGAAAAATCTCTCCCCAGCATCCAGAGTCCCCCGACAGTTGAAAGACAATTAAATCTAGGCTGAGATTCTTCCCCTCCTTCTACACTTTTGCAGGACCGTGCATCCCCCTGTCCTCAGCACCCTCAACAGCATTCGTGTGGCAGAATGCCCCATGGCAACAACACTGTGTCGTGACTTAGTGTCATTCCCAAAGGTCTCCTGCAGGTAGAAGAAGATGGCTTCTGGCACCATCCACTAAGACTGAAGTCTGCAGAGCCGCAACTTGCGTTCCGTTACTTGGTCATGTTAGAGATTGTTGGGGGAAAGGGGACTGGCTTTTACAGGAGAAAAAGACCCAAAACATCCAGAGTTAACTTGTGGGCATCAATAGCTTCCACAAGCAACCCCCCTGATTTTGTTGGCTTCTGAGAAAAGGATGCCACAGCACCACCTTCTGGAACCCGACAGGTGAGAAAGGAAATGCCATAAAACAGTTTCTTCCACACGCGTTCCTATTCCACGCAGGCAACTCAGAGAGACATTGTGGCCAAGGGGATCAAAAGCCACTGAAATCAGTATGTCAGTTCCCACAGTCTTTCTCCTGATACACATCATCCACCAGGGCAATCAAGGTAGCACTGATATGAATTTAGACAATTTAGTTCAACCCCAAACTCCTGAAGTTGATAAGTCACTGGTTGCTTGATGGCCTTAGCTAAAGGCCAAAACAGGTCTCGAACTGCCTGGCACAGGAAGCTCAGTGGAAGGTCTCTCATGCGACAGTCTTGAAACTGCTTCTCTTAAAACATATGGACCCACTCCTCCCCTCAGTGATTTGTGAACCATTAGCACTAACCAACTTAAGAGCCTTCCTCCGCAAACCTTCACCCTGATCCAGCAGGATTCTTCTTAGATGCTTAGGTGAACGAAGAATTACAAGAAACATTTGTTACCCAAATTCATGGAGGGAAAGTCTGTCCATGGCTACCCAAAGACACAGCTCCACGCCCAGTTCTTCCTCTTCTCTGCCATGCTTATTGCAATCTACCATGCGTCTGATCCTCCTTGGACATTCCTATCCTCACAAGAAGCCAATGATGGCACGGACAGCACACAATGCCATGATGTCAGGCCATGGGGAAAGTTGTGCTGGAAATGAACTGCTGACTCAAACCATGGACAGCCACTGCTGGCAAGAGTAGACCTTAGTGAGCTAGATGGACCAAGATTGTAACTCAGTGAAAAAGCAGCTTCTAATCTCCTACTAAGTATTAACAGGATAAGAAGTGGGGAACCCTACATGGGGCTGCTGTTTCTAAGGTAGTCCTGAATCTCGTGCAACACTTAAGAGCTCTGAATAAAAGGGGATGTTTTCACAGAATAGGTAAAACCCAGCTTATTGTTGTGGCTTCAACAAGTGGTACCTGCAACCGCCAACATCTGCAGAGCCACAAAATGAGGGTTCCTTGTGTTCCTCAGAAGCAGCTTCTGCTGGCTTAACTGCATAAGGCTTAAGCATCTACAAAGGCAGCCTGGGTCCCACAACCCAACAATGCGCAAGCCTGAGAGCTGGTAAGCAAAAGGGCAGCCAGCTGCAGATTTGTGGAAGCCGGAAATGCATCTTCAAACCCTGCCCGATTCCCCCGGGAAACTCATCGTTCAGTTTCCAATCTTACCAGGTGGGTCGTAAGAGGGCACCTCCTTGTAAGAGACCGACATCACGGGGTGCTTGAGTTTATCCCTGAAGTCGGCAATGGTTTGGTAGACCAGGAAGACAGCTACAGCCATGAGCAGCAGGTATATGAAGAGGAGAATGACCGAGAAGACGTTTTTCAAGCAGGACTTGCTGAAACGCACCGAAGGGCTGTTGCTGTCTAGGACTGGAGAAAACATTAATCTGAGACTTTTAACATATGGAACATATGGTGTCAGAATTTAAATATGCCCCATGTTAAGGAGGAAAAAACCCAAGACTGAATTCTCCCTATGTAGGCAGAGTAGGCTGCAGAGGGATCTGCTGGTGGCAAGTGATGGTTGGCCAATGGAGGCAATGATGGCTGCTTGACAAAGGCAAGTGTTGGCTGCCTCATGGAGGTGCTTCACTTTTTCATAATACAGTCGTACTGCAGAAGTCGATCGGAATCTGTTCCGAAAGTCCGTTTGACTTCCAAAACGTTTGGAAACCAAGGTGTGGCTTCCAATTGGCTGCAGGAAGCTCCTGCGGCCAATCGGAAGCCGCAGAAGACGTTCGGGCTCCAAAAGAATGTTTGCAAACCGGAACACTCACTTCCAGGTTTGCAGCATTCGGGAGCCAAAACATTCGACTTGCAAGGCGTTCGACTTCCGAGGTACAACTGTACCAGGCACTGCTGCTCTCAGCACATGTTCTATCACAGAGAACTCCCTTCAATAGAGGCTTTCCTGCACCTGTTGCAGGAAATGCCCCTACCCTGCGACATGCGTCACTGCAATATCTCTTGTCAACAGAAAACAAGACGGGCTGGGACCCCAAGATTCTCATGCAAGCACATGTAATATCCAGAGACACAGGATCAGTAGATCTCACTTGGAAGGATAGTTGAGCTGGCATCATCGAGATCCTCTTTGTCTACTTGTTCCTCTGCAGGTTCCAAGTTTGCATCTGCGTGCTCCACATCTTCACTCAGCTGCAAATATAAAATATGGAAACAATCAGATCTGTGTAGTGGGTACAGCCCTGAGCTCCTACAGGGGCTCAAATTCCATGCCAAGTTCTACCCTGAAGATGTATCTGAGGAGCTGATCCAGGACATCACAAAGAAGCTGTTCTTCAACCACAAGCCGCACACTCAGCGGGCTACACTCGCTCATGCTACAGCCTCCCTGCTGCATCTCCGCTGCACAATGTTAACCACACAGCCCTGCCCACCTGTGAAATCTGGCCCACCAGGGGTCAGGGAAATCATTATCGGTACTGCCAGCCAGAAAGAGGTTTGCCAACCCGGCTCTAAATTGCCTCTCCATGAATGCTCATGGCTGCTAATGGTCTGGGAAGCATGAATGAGCACTCCCTCCAACAGCAACCTCAGGCGGTGAATGAAAACAGAAATTGAGCCAAAATGGAGCTGTTGAGAAACCAAGAAGGAGCTCTCAGCAATACTAGGGGAACCCCCTGAATTTTCAGAGGTACAAATTAAAACAAAAAGGTGGAGGCAAAAGACCAACAGCCCAATGAGTACTGAACATGTTCAGTAGTCATAGGATATTTTTTTAAAAAAATTTTTTATTAAGGATTTTCTTGTTTTACAGAAGTAAGTGTAATGCCTCGTGTATTTTTCCCCCCGTGTAACATTTTTACAAATCCGTTTCATTTGTTGAGGCATTAGGGGGAGAAGAAAAAAAGGTAAAAAGAAAGGGGTATGGAGAGAGGGAAGATGGATAGGGGTAGGGTCGGGTGGCGGTGTTTCTATTATGTTTAATGTGTGTAGAGTTTGGTGTCAGCGTTGCTTGTGTTGTTCACTAGTGTTCCTTTGGTGGTGAGAGAGGTTGGGGTTGGCCTAGGGTGTGATTGTTTGCTTGTGATTGGCTGTGGTGATCTTTGTTTTCGTGTGTGAGTGAGGTGGGTGGATGTTTTGGATCAGGTTAGCCATATTGATTTGTATGCTGTTGGTGGATTATTGTCATTGTCCTGTTGGGCTGTGTATGTGATAAAGGCAGCCATACCGTGGTGAAGGCGTCTTCTTCTGTTTGTCCCCGTGTCAGTTTCAGTTTATTAGTTAATTTTCTAGTAGGGCTATTTCCCATACTATTTGGTACCATTGGTCCATGTTTACTCCTGACAGGTCTCTCCAGTGTCTGGTTATGGTGTTTCTGGCTGCTGATAGTAGGTGGGTTATGAGTTCTTTGTGGTGTAAATGGGCATTGTTGTCTTGGAAGATGTTTAGTAGGGCCAATTCTGGGGTGATGTCTATTACTTGCTTAGTTATTTTACATACTTCTTGTATGGTTTTTGTCCAGAATAGTTGGGTTTTGGGACACTCCCACCACATGTGGAGGTATGTGCCTGTGGAGGTGCACCCTCTCCAGCATTTTGATGAGGTTCCTGGTATATTAGCGCTAGTTTCCTTGGTGTTAGGTACCACCTGTAGGTGAGTTTCAGTGTGAGTTCTTTTCTTTTTGTTGATATGGATTTAAAGGGGGGTTTAGACCACATTCTGGTCCATTGAGTGGGGTTAATCTCATAGCCTATGTCATTCTCCCATTGTTTTTTGATTGCATCTAGGGGATTTCCGGGATTTTGTAGTAGTATTTTGTATATTGCGGATACCGTCCCTTTACCGTTTCCCTTTGTTGTTAGGAGGAGGTTTTCGAAGGTTGTCAGGGGCCTAGTTGCTGCTGATTTTACTGTTGGGTTGTTTAAGAGGGCATGTAGTTGGTGTTGTGTTAACCAGGGCATTTGGGTGTCTTCTAGTTTGTCTTGTATTTCTTGTGTTGACAAGGGTTTGTTATTTTTATAAAAGTCTATTAGGCGATATAAGCCTTTGGTTTGCCAGGTTTTTATCTGGAGGTTTTGTGCTGCATGGTGGAATAATGGGTGGTACGCCAGGGGGATTAGTGGGGATGGGGTTGGGGATAGTTTGCCTATTTGTGTTTTCCATGCTTTGAGCATGGTCTGTGTGTACCTGTTAAGTGTTGTGGGAATTTTCTTTAGTTTGTTTGGGAGGAGTGGGTATGTTGTGGTGCAGGTATTTTCAATTGTGTCCCTCTCTAGGTGTACCCATTGTTTTGTCTCATCTTCTAGTATATATGGGATTATATGGTGTATTTGGTTGGCATTGTAATATGCTTCTATGTTGGGGATTCCCCAGCCTCCTTCTGAGGTGGGGAGGTGCAGGTATTTGAGGCTTATTCTTGGTTTTTTATGTGAGAAGATGAAAGAGTGTAGTTTTCTCTGCCAACTGCGAAGTTGGGTTGAGGGGATCCAGATTGGGAGGGTTTGGAATCAGTAGGTTAGTTTTGGGAGTGTGATCATTTTGATCATGGCTATTTTGTCTGAGAGAGTGAAATTCATGTTATTCCATCTCTTTAGGTCTTTGTTAATTTGTCGCCACAGGGGCTTGTAGTAGTCATAGGATATTGAGTACAGGGGGCGGGCGAACACTTCTGGCAAACCATAGTGTCCGAGTATGTGTTTGTGCATGCGCCTGTAAAAGAGTGGAAGGAACGTAGGAAACTGCCTTACATTGAGTCAGACCATTAGTGCATATAGCTCAGTACCGTCTGCATTGACTGGAAACTGCTTTCTCAAATGACTGCCTAGAACCCTGAACAAGAGCACTCCTGTTAAAGAGGACAAACCAGAACATTTCTTGCAGATCCAACTTCTAAGGCTGGATCTAGAGGCTGCTATATAAAGCTGAGAAGCGGTGATGTTGGGTTTTTTTTAAAAAAAGAACAAGCCAATTTCTGGTCTCACGGTTGTGGAAGAAAATGAGAACATGGAGTAGGAAGTTTCTGATAAAACTTTAAAACGGCACTGGTTACTTCTCCAGTTTGGGCTGCAAAGTCTTCAATGGAGCGTCTACACCGCTCCCAGACTCTCCATTCCAATGCGCCTTCTATCTTGCATTCACGACCAAAAAGACTGGATTTATCCCTCTGTATGTAAATCCCGGAATTGCTGGCGGAGGGATTTCCCAGGCATGTAAGAAGGCATCTGACTGCTTTCCGCATGTGTGAGCATGCAGTACAAACCCCTTTCCTCCCATCATCACCAAAAGGAACAGCAACCTAATCCTCAGGCCACTGCTACGTTATCCTTTGGCTCAGCGGGCCAGAACAACAGGCAACTGAACACCTTTCAAAGCAGCAAAACAGACCAGATGCTTTCTTGAGCCGTCACTCAAAGCACAAGGCCCAAACTGCCAGGACATTTTTGTCAATGTCACAGGCTTGTCACATCCGATAGACATGATCCCTGCAGGCCGCGCAGCATCTAATCCCATAACTGAAAGGAAAATAACTGAAGGCAAAGCACAAAGGATTCTGCTTCCTTTTGTTCCTTCCCTCTATCTACAATTTTCTTTTTGTCTCCTGGCGTTCCGAAGCAACCTTGCAGATCGCAGCTGGCGCATTCCACTTCTTCCCTTTCCCAAACAAAATTGGTTGTTTTTATTTATTTATTTATTTAAGTCATTGTTTTTGCAAATGAAAACATAGAAGAAGAAGAAGAGGAGGAGGAGGAGGAGGAGGAGTTTGGACTTGATATCCTGCCTTTCACTCCCCTTAAGCAGTCTCAAAGCGGCTAACATTCTCCTTTCCCTTCCTCCCCAACAACAAACACTCTGTGAGCTGAGTGGGGCTGAGAGACTTCAAATAAGTGTGACTGGCCCAAGGTCACCCAGCAGCTGCATGTGGAGGAGCGGAGACGCGAACCCGGTTCACCAGATTACGAGTCCACCGCTCTTAACCACTACACCACGCTGGCTCTCAGTTCAGTTCAGTTGACTACCACAGCCCCAGAAATATAACTGGGCACCAACCAAACCTTCAACCTGAGAAAGGTTCGCTCGTCCAGTTAGAGGTGGGGTCAAGGCTTTTCAGAAACCCCTGTCAAGATCTGCCTCTATCAAAGGGGGAAACCCACAGAGTGGGTCAGCTCCCATCATCCCCAGCCAACATGGCCAATGGTCAGGAAACAGCAGGAGTTGTAGGCCAGCAGCATCTTGGGGACACCACATAATAATAGAATTGTAGAGTTGGAAGGGAACCTGAGCATCATCTAGTCCAACCCCCCGGCATTGCAGGAATATGCAGCTGCCTGCAACCTTGGTGTTATCAGCAGCACGCTCTAACCAACTGAGCTACCCCGGCACCATGTTGGCTGCATCTACTGTATTCTTTAAACAGATAAGGCTATTATTGCAAGACTTCAACACCCCTGCAAGCGGATAAACGGCACTCAAAACTAAAGCAAGCAACAGTGAAGTTATCAGCTCTTCTTGGGAAAACCCCATAGGTTTGCAGAAGTACAAACGAAAAGGTTGGGGAATAAATGAGCGAAGCCAAAAGTAGCCCAATGAGAACTGAGCATGCTCAGTGGCCGCGGAATGCTAACTGGTGGGGGCTGAATGGAAAACAGAAGAGGAGGAATGGAATGCTTAGCTGACTAGAGCCCTAACTAGAAGCTCTCCACGCTGCAACACTTTGTTGCAGGTCCCATTAGTAAAGACATAGCACTGTAAGTCTCTCATGCTTTCCACACCCTTGAGAAGACAATGCATGCAACAGGCTTCTTGGCTGTTACGTGTGTACATGAGTGCATGGCTGCAGTCCACAATGAATACAGATCACCCTGGCACAGAAGCCTTGGCACACTGTTAGGAGCATAGGTGAGCTACAGTGATCAGGTAGCTTTCAGGTGTGTCCTATTTCGGTATTTACTCAGATGTCAGACAAGGCGGCGACAGCAGGGGAAGCTATGATATACAAGCCACTTAAGCTATTTATTCACATTGGCTTCAATGGGGCAAAGTCTAAAATCCCAGGGAATGGATGATTCACACATGCAGGTACATCGGAACTGGAGAACTTTGGGTCTTTCCCTTGGGACTCTCCTTAGCTTGAACCCCTTCTCCTCAAGACATACCAGCTCAAGAGTCCTGCTCCACGCCCTCCTGGAGCGCTTTGACGCAGCTGAAATGTAACCTACTGTACAAAGATAAGTCATATCTGTTGTTCCACTATTGCCCATCACTAGCATGTCTGTTAGGGGTCTGTTTTGTCTGTTAAGGGTGTGGAGCTGCAATATCGAGAGTTCACTGGGAAGCATTGATGGTTAACCCCCCCATCCCTGAGAATTATAGCTCTGAGTAGGGAATAGGTGTCTCCTGCCAACTCTCATCAGTCATCACCCTTAACAAATTAAAATTTCCAGAAGAGGCCAAAGACCGAACAGAATGTTTAGGGAAGCAGGGAAATCTTTTATACATTAGTTAGTTCTTCAACACATATTAACCTCCTTCAGGGAACTTTTGGTGTTTTTTATTTCATTTCTTTCGAAGTCCATTTAAACAGCAAAATGGCAATCACACTAACACTTTAAGTCACTTAACCCTGAAGGTTTAAAATCACAAAAGCAGCTGAACATTTGATTGTAAGGACGATTCAAAAGATTTTGAAAAAATGAATAAAACCTGTAGTCTCCAAAATAGAAGAGCATCTTGAGAATATATTAGAATGGCAGGGAGCCTCAGGCCTGGGAGCCAAAGGCCTGGGAGCTAAACCTCTCTACTTGGCCCTTGGGATTCTCATCAGAATCCCAGGCCACAAACCCTGGGACCTCAGGTAGCTTGGCACTGAACAAATACAAGAATTATTCTTCGTCTGCATTAGCGAATGCAAAAACCAGAGCCTTGTATCACCTTAAAAAGCAACACATTTTATTTCTGGCATCACTTAGCCCATGGGTATGCAAACTAAGGCCCGGGGGCCGGATCCGGCCCAATCACCTTCTAAATCCGGCCCACAGACAGTCCAGGAATCACCGTGTTTTTACATGAGTAGAATGTGTCCTTTTATTTAAAATGCATCTCTGGGTTATTTGTGGGCCCTAGGAATTCGTTCATTATTATTTTTCAAAATATAGTCTGGCCCCCCACAAGCTCTGAGGGACAGTGGACTGGCCCCCTGCTGAAAAAGTTTGCTGACCTCTGACTTAGCCCATATAAACTTCTGTCACAGTAAATGCTTCTAGGTGGGTGTTTATTGTGCCCCCCCACAATCCACACATCAAAATGCCAGCCCACATTCCTGCCCCCCCCCCATTTTCACCTGAATTTCTGGGAAGCATCTGTTAAATTATGACTATTTGTGTAACATCAAGCTCCTGTCTTGAAGCATCAATCTTTACTTGATTTCACTATGACAACCCCTGTGGAATCTGGGAATTTGGGAGAGAACCTGGGAATGGTACTATTATTGTTAATAGTATTATTATTATTATTATGGGCTGCATTGCAGCTCTCCTGCTAATGTCCTGCCCCAAGTAAGGCATGCTATAATTGCATTTGAATGAGCTGAGCTCTCTCAACATCTGCAGTTTTGAAGGAGAAGCAAAGGCAACTGCCATGAGCCCAGAGTTACAGTTGTACCAGCTGGTACATTGATATGCAAAGCAGGCGAAACATTCAAGGCCTGGCAGAAGGACAGCGGAGGAGTTTCACTGCATGGCTAAGACCAGTTTGATAGCACCATACCAGAGCACATTCAAACAGATAACCAATTTTCTGGATTTGCTTTAAATGCTTTTTAAAAAGTGAGATCTGGGAGGGTTTGTTTACACCAACAGCTATCACCACCCCCCTTCCCTTTCCTTCCAGATTAACTGCATGAACACAAGAGATCTGGGCTCCAGAAGAAAAGAAAAATGATTAAATGATTCAAGGGCAGAACGTGTGAGAGAGTATGCAGGATATCCTTTTGTTAGAGAGAGAGAGAGAGAGAGAGAGAGAGAGAGAGAAGTTCGCTCAGGGGGGAAAAAACAGGCCATTGTTGACACTACAAAATGGACTTACCGTATTTTTCGCTCTATAGGACGCACTTTTTCCCCTCCAAAAATTAAGGGGAATTGTGTGTGTGTCCTATAGAGCGAATGCAGGCTGCACGGCTAAGCCCAAAGCCAGAACAGGGAGACGGAGCGCTCCGTCTCGCTCTTCTAGCTTGGGGATGGCTGCGCGCAAAGCCTCTGCAGGGCAGCAGGGTGCCTTCACCCCGCTGCCCTGCGGAGGCTACAAAGGCTGTCCCCAAAGCCAGAACAGCGAGACGGTCTCGCTGTTCTAGCTTGGGGATGGTAGCCGCCTGAAGCTGCGCTCTGGAAGCTTTAGGTGAATGCACCTTGAATGCACCTTGTTTTATAGGGGGAGAACTAGAAAAAATTTTGTTTTCCCCTGTTCTCCCCCTCCTATGGTCCGGTGCGTCCTATAGAGCAAAAAATATGGTAACTTGGTGGTCTGGCTATCTTTCTCTCTGGCATTAAACAGAATTCTGAGAATCAGAATTAATGGAGGGCGGTTATACATTTAAATATAAGAATAAAGGCTGGAGTTGATGCAGAGACCCTGTTAGGTTGCAAACTGGGAAGAGAATTAAGGCAAGCGTCCTGTCAACACTACTAAAAATAATAAAAAATTATTATTAAGCCCCACTGAACTCAGCAGGCATTACATTTGAGCATATAATAAGATCACTTACAGCAACAATTAAGAGCTCATTATTACCAACTGCCTTCTAGGATAGCACTCAGCTCATCAGGAGGATTATTATACTATTATTACCGTCTTTATGAATCAATTGCCAGTGACAGGAGAATCAGCTAGAGTCCTGCAGTTTTAAGCAGAGCTCCCACTTCTGATTCTTGCCATCTGGACTAGAAAAAGTCTGCAAAGTGCTGTGGGGGGGGAGCGGGGATGAGGAACTACTGTGCACAGCAAAGAAAACGCTTTTCCTGCAGTGCCTTCGCTGGCAAACAAGAAACTTGTGCCTGGGCTTTGTGCAGAATCACGTGTTTGTTTCCTACTCAGAACAGGAGGCTAGTCTGACTCAGCTCAATGTAAGTGCAAGATTGTGCATGCTTTACTCAGAAGCAAGTCTCACTGAGTTCAATTAGTCTTACTCCTGACTTCTGGGAACCAACAGAAGTTTTCATCTATAAACTGCTGCTTGCACAGAGCAATCCCATGCACAGAGAAGTAAACCTTTCTTTGCTCAATGGGATACATTATACTGAATGCATGCACAGAGGGATGGCAGCCCGTTGTAGTTTTGCAGCCCTATTGCAAACGGCAAGCTCTACTGCAGTGGTAAAGCTCCCGCCTTACACGCAGACGGGCTCAGGTTCAAATCCCGGCATCTCCGGATGCAGAGCTGAGTGCTACTCCTGCCCAGAGCTGCTGCCAATCAGTGTAGGCTATACTGAGCTAGATGGGGCAACGGTCTGACTCCGTATGAAGCAGTTGCCTCTGTACGGAGCGGTAAGCATGCATCGGATCCGGCTGTGTTAAGTCTGCCCATACCCGGGCTGCAAGTTTTCCTATTTGTTTGCCACAGCAGCAGAAACTGCAAAGGCTCTTTCCGGAGCGCGCAACGCTCAGATCGGCCAAGAAAGGAAAGCGGCGCGTCGATCGCGCTTCGCGAAGACGAATTCGGAGCAAGATCGCCGCCACTGCTCCGACCCCCGACCCCAATACCTCTTGGTAAGACGACGAAGTCTCTTGTCTATTCATGGCACCAGCGAAGAGAAAAGGCAGCGGAGAGACTCGATCAACAGGCAGCTGCAAAAGAAGCCGGGATCTGGCGAGGCAGCTGCGGAAGCGACAAGTGGATCAAAGAGCATCGGGCGTAACGGGACACATTCTCCGGCCGGGAGGCGCACGGCGCAAGCGCGCGAGACCCCACCGTTTCCTCCAGGAACTTACTTGCGCGCTCCCCGTACCTTGGGTCTGCACGGCTTGTTGCTTACACCGAGGGGGGGTGTAGAGAAGGGGATGATGGGAAATGTAGTTTGTGGCCTGGAAGCATTGGGCTGGACTCGGGGCTTCTGGGGAAGCGCCGGGTTCGAAATATGCCGAGCAAGGGTTGGTGTCAGCGTTCCTTGTGCAGGTTCTTTGCTGATCGCTTGTGTTCCTTTGGTGGTGAGGGCGGTTGGGGTTAGCCTAGGGGGTGGTTATTCATTTGTGGTTGGCTATGGTGGTCTTTGTTTTCGTGTGTCAGTGGGGTGGGTGGGTGTTTTGGATCAGGCTAGCCATATTGATTTGTATGCTGTTGGTAGATTATTGTCATTGTCCTGTTGGGCTGTGTATGTGATAAAGGGGAGCCATACCGGGGTGAAGGTGTCTTCTTCTATATGTCCCCGTGTCAGTTTCAGTTTATTGGTTAATTTTTCTAGTAGGGCTGTTTCCTGCGTTAAGACATTTAAAACGGCATAATACTACTTCTAACAGCCGTGGCTTCCCCCAAGGTATTCTGGAAACTCTAGTTTGTAAGCGTGCTGAAAGAGGCTAGGTTCATAGAATTGTAGAGTTGGGTGGTGGACCACGGGGGTCAACTAGTGCAACTCCCTGCAATGCATGACTCTTATTGCTCAGCGTGGGACTTGAACCCAGGACACTGAAATTAAGAGCCCTGGTCTACTGACTGAGCTAAGAGACTCCTTTGTTCTTGCAACACTACAGTTCTCCGTAGTTTAACCATCAATCTCTCTTCTCAGGGAGCTCTGGAAATTGTAGCTCTGTGAGGGGTATCGGGGGTTTCCTAACAACTCTCGGCATCCATACAAACTACAATTCCCAGGATTAGGGGGCCCTCGCCTGCATAGGAATAGCGTCTGTTGATGGGTTGGATAAACAACTACAGTATAAAACAAGCAAATGTTTAAATAGTTTCCCTTGATTAATTGGGCAGATTTTTTTTTTAATGAATGCATTTAAGCACATGTTCTTATAAATATTGTGCGCTGGCACAGGAGGTAACCTGCCTTTCCAGGGTGGTGACATGTTTGCAGCATTGAAAAGCAAAGTTACACGCATGTTTTCTGTGGTGCAGGGTTTCATTTTAAAACGTAGAGGTGGTGTTAAAGGCTCGTGAAGGCCATGCATCTAAAGCGTATTTCTGTTTCAGGGTGCTGGGAACTGTAGCTTTGTAAGGAATATAAACTACAGTTCCCAGGAGTCTTCGCGGGGGGGGGGGAGCGTGCGTGCTTTGGCTGTATGACGCGCAGGCGGTCTAGTCGCAGCGTGGAAAGGAAGGCGTGGAGAAAAGCAAGCAGGAGAAGTTTGCTTTCGAGAAACCCGATCCCCGCGGCTCCTTTTCCCCGCCCCCGAAGTCTTGGCCGCCATCCGGCGCCGGAGGAGCGCCATGGCCGGCGGCTTCGCGGCGGCGCTGGTCCTGCTCGCCTCGGCCCTCCTGGGCTTCCGCGAGGGGCGGACCGAGCAGGAGCTGCGCTTCAAGCCCGCGCCCCGCCAGAGACCCGTGCGCCTCTTCACCGAGTCCGAGCTGGCGCGATACGGCGGGCAGCAGGTACGGAGGGAGGCCGGGAGGGCGCTTTCCCGGGAGAAGACGGTGGGCCAGGGCCGAGCTGAGGCTGCGAGGAGCGGCTGCTGGCCGAGGATTTAGGGCGCAAGGGCGGGTTTTGCTGGCTTTGAGCGATCCGGCGCGGGAAGCCAGCCGAGGTCGGGTTTGCCTACGGATGTTTGGTTTGCAGACGCTGCTAGCGGCAGGCTAAAATGTGCGCGCAAGAGTATGGACGGAAGAGTTTTGCACCTCTTGGTGGGATCCGGATTGGAACTCAAAACAGCGACGGGTGTCGTTTTGCCTCGCGTTTGGTTCCCGTTGCTATGAATGGAAGGGCGTTGAGTGCGAACTCATTGAATGAACGCGGTGGGTTTTCTGAGTAAACAAGCCCCCACAGAAGCAGGCTGCTCAGGTGCACACTTACTATAGCTGTCAACTTTTCCCTTTTCTTGCGAGGAATCCTATTCGGAATAAGGGAATTTTCCTTTAAAAAATGGGAAACGTTGACAGCTATGGCACTTATAGTGCTTGGGTCAAAGTCTCAGCAGGATTTGTTTCCTCCTTCTCCTAAGTAAGCATGCTGTAAGGAATTCACATTTCTTCCTTTCTTCCTTTCTTCTCTCTCACAGTGTGTGAGCTGCAAGTTCATAGCCATCCCCATACAGCCCATCTGCAGATTTCTGCACTCCCTAAGGGAGACAAGCCTGACTCCTTCCAGGTTTAGTAACTGGAAGCAAAGCTGCCAGCCTTCCCCCAAACTTGTGCTCTGTAGATGCTTTATCCTAAAACTCCCATACTCCTTTAGTGATTTTAACTGGTTTTGTCAGACAAGGCTCTCTTAACTTGATTCACGCCATTTTTTGATTGGGGAAAAGAAGCTTACAAAATTATATAGGATGATTTTTTAAAATATATATATCTTAAAAATGAGTCTTTTTTGGGGGGGTGTCTTTTCAGGAGGATCAGCCTATTTACATAGCTGTGAAGGGCGTGGTGTTTGATGTCACCTCTGGAAAAGGTGAGTTAACTTTCTAACAAGAGGGTTCCTCCCTCCCTCCCCATCTCTGGCTCTGTTTCAGAGGCAGAAATCTCAGCACTGCAGCCCCAGCTACTGTAAGGCATTCTTAAGAAAGCTCCATATTTCCTAACCTGGTGTCCGCCAGATGTTCAGGACCACAACTCCCATCAGCCCCAGCTAGCGTTGTCCTGGGATATTCTTGAAAGGGAGAGGAGAACAGAAGATTAGTAATATATAATCACAATTGACATATCTTCCAGTACCTTCCCTCTCCCACCTCCAAAGTTATTTTCTCTCCATCAAAATGTGCTCAAAGGATTCTTCACAACTCTGAATTCCTTCTTACCTGACCAGACCTAGTAATGTTCCCAGCTTTGCTGTCTGTGGCAGCAGGAAGGCATGTTTTCCCCCCTCAAGGCCTCCAGTTCCTGTAAACTGCTTTGTGCATGGTTTTTTTGGTGGAAAAGCAGCATACAATGAAATGACTGTATCTTCTCAGCAGCCATCTGCACAGCTCTGCCCCTTTCACCTCAGTTATTTCATGGTGCCGGCTATTTCTTCTCACATTAGCCAGGCGGCAAGCTGTAGCAATGGACTTTATTTATTAAAAAAAATCTTTTTACAGCCTGGTGCTAGTCAGAGAAGGGCCAAGCCAGGTGGCTGCAGTTGCCGCGGACTTCATTTACCCACAATGCCTCTCAGGTCTGACTTAAGGTTGCTGTGTTTGAGGGAAACAAAGGAGGCATCGGGGGAAATAAAGGTGCTTCTTAAAGTGCTGGGCCTTAAAAATAAATAAAAAGTAAGCCAACACACACATACAAAGGATGCTGGAGCAGCCTTGTTGGCACCTGCTGGAGTTTGTAGGCCCTGACATTTGCCCAACCATGCTGGATGCCAACGCTGGGCCTGGTTACCTCAGCCAAAAACGCACATCGCCCCCTTTCAGCAGATCACCATTTAAATCCACTTGGCTGCCTCCTAGGTGATTACCGTAGTTTGTTGCCACCTGCCGTCATCTGTGCACTGAGCCTCATTATTTAAAATACTGGATTCCCTCAGATCATGTGCAGGTCTTCCATTAGTGCTGTGTTAGTAATATAATTTGCTTGTCACTTTCATGGCCAGGGAGGCTGATAAGTGCAATAAGTGGATGTCTTTCTCATCTTGTACAATGGAAGCTAAAGTTCTTTTGCGATGGAATCTAATTTTTTTAAGGTTCTGGCATTGTACAAGGAAGATAAAACAGACAAACCTCCAGATGTTGTCCAGAGACCAGATATTTGATGCGCTCAGCTCCTGAGCCATCAGATGTTTGTGGGATTTTTCTACCCTCACGGTTTTCTAACTTGTTCCTTGTTCTAAAAGGAAATAGGCTTTTTTTCTGAAATATCACGGACATAATTAAATATTAGAAGTACCATGAGAGGTTTGGTTTTTTTTAAGGGTAATGGATTTTAGCTTAATTTCATTGAGACCTTATTTTCTCCTCCTTGGACAGAGTTTTATGCGAAAGGAGCACCGTACAATGCGCTAGCTGGCAAAGATTCCACACGAGGGATTGCAAAGATGTCGCTTGATCCGGTGGATCTCACGCATGATACAGTAAGAAAAAGAGAGATGTGTTCTTTGTACAATGGGCTGAGCCACAATCCTGCACATCACTTTACTTGCATGTAGGCCTAAATTGTTGTTGGCAGTTAGCTGTTGCCTCAGGCACATGCAGGAGCAAGGCATCTGGTGGGTGGGGAAGCGATCTCTGCATATCTTCCTCTCCCTTTTGAATAGTCATATACGGCACAGTGAATGAATTTGCTCTCTCTTCCCTCCCTCCCTCCCTCCCCTTGCACAGACCTTAACTCGTTTTCATATTTCATTTAGGTGGGCCTTACGGAAGAGGAGTTGCAGTCTCTGGAGGAAACCTTCCAAAATGTCTACAAAGCCAAATATCCCATTGTCGGCTATACTGCCCAAAGAATTCTCAATGAAGATGGCAGCCCTAATCCAAACTTCAAACCTGAAGATCAGCCACACTTCACCATTAAGGATGAGTTTTGACCCAGTGGCGTTGCAGTTCTAAGAAGCCGCGGGTACTCTCCTGCGTTACAAGAAGAAATAGACAAAAGCAAGATGTATGGCTGATAGCAGGACGAACTCTCGGAAAACTGAATGGCGTGGCATGCCTGTGACAGGATGTATTTTTTGACATCTTTAAGGGTAAAACTAGGTACCAGATGCTTACTATGCTATCTTGGCTCTGCAGCTGATGAGCCAGTAATGTCATGGTAAATGTGGAATTTATTTTAGTCCAGTTCTCTCCTCCCCAGTGAAATTATCCATGCCTTTCTATCTACCTGTCACTTGGCTAACTAAATACGAGTCTTTATGAGAAGGGCGGTGCTTGCAACAAAAGGCTGCAGCGTGTAGCGTTCCTGGTTCAGGGTGCCAGCCAGCCATGCCAGCTTGAAGGATTCCATTCCATCCACCCACTGTTCTGTTCTCCGCCCCCCAGGCAACAGTAAATTGGCATTCTGCGCCCACTGATCATGCTCCATCTCAGTGGGCTGTGTTTGTGGTTCTTTTCTTTCTACAAACTCTGCAGTAAAGCAAGGCTGCTCATGTCCTCCCTTTCTCGTTTTATATACATTTTATTTATTTACTGCCTTCCTAAACTGCATAATAGCCAAAGCTTTCTGGGTGGGCTCCAGATTTTCTTGGGTTGTGGACAGGACACAGAACATGCCTGCAGATATGAACCTTGCACTGCGTACTTTGTTATGGATGTTTCATAATGACTTCAATATTTCCAGTTTCTTTATCCTGAGATTAACTGCATCTGTGTTTTGTCATCTTAGATATAAATTGGGTCCCCTGTATTATTTTTTTTAACTGTCTCACTGCGGCTTGGTCTTATTTTATTTACTTCAGTCCTCTGGAGAGACGGTTGCGTTGTGGTTTTTTGTTCCCCTCCCCTCCTAGTTAACCTAATTTACATCATCTCCAGTTTCTACCAGGGAAAGGCATGCCCTTATCCATCTGTCAGAGTGCTATTAGGAAATCTCTGGGGCTTTAATTTGCATAGCTCCTGGAGAACATGCATGCTTATGCTAGACAAATTGATGTTAACCACAGAGCTGCAATAGCCTAAGGAGACTGTGTCGTGTTATGTTGATTTACCTGAGAGGCTGAATTAGCAAGATGACACTGAGCAGCCGCTCCGGATTCTTCAAAGATAATTTGTTCTGTTGCATTAAGCTCCCCACTGTTTGATTTCAAAGAGCAGACGATTACACATCCCTCTCAGGGGAGGTTGTGTGTCATACACACTAATAAATAAATGAAAATAATCGAGAACTAGTTGCCTTGCATGCAGAAGGTTCAAAGTTCAGTCCCTAATTTATTTTGGTTAGGGCTGGAAGAGATCCCTGCCTGAAACCCTGGAGAGTCTCTTCCAATCACTGCAAACATTACTGAGCTCATTGAAGCCAATGGTCTGACTCACTATAAGGCAACTTCCTGCATTAAAACTGGGTTTTGATTCAGGAAGTCCCTGCCCTCAGGTACCACTTTGGCCATAGAAAGCTGTTTTATACCAGGCCAGGCTGCTTGTTAGAAACTCAAATATATAAGCTAATTGCCAAATGGAAACTTAATTCTAGGTTGTGGTGGTCACAATGGAATGTCTAGGCACTTTTTTTCCTTTTTGCAATGAAACTTATTATTAATTTCATTTCTATACCGCTTTATATTTTAGAGGAAAAATCTCAAAGTGGTTTACAACACATTAAAATATCACATAAAACAAGCCAGAATAAAATTAATTCAAGCTTCAAGGGAAAAAATTCAGATCCTTCTCTAAGTGACATTTTGCTTTTGCCAGTTGTAAACCTGGCGTCCAGAAATCTCCATGTGGTTGCAATTGGACCTGTGCCAGTCACATTAATTAGTAGCGGGAGAGAACATAACCTCAATTGTGGTCAGCATCCGTCAGCAGAAGAAATTTTCTTCCAGGGTTCTGTCGTCATATTGTGGAAGCGAAACTCGGCAGAAGCCCTTTCAGTTTGTGGTTTGCAGAAACAGGAGATAGTACAGAAAACAGTGCACTTCGCTCCCATTTCTAAGAATAATAGCTGTGGAAGTGTTATGAGCAGCTATGCCTTGGCAAATCTGAGAAATAGTTCCTTATAACCCATTCCCACATTTCTCTAAATTTAAATTTCTGTTCTTTAACCAATAACTTCTCAAAGCAGGTTATGAGCAAAAACAAACCACCCATTAAATATTAGTTTGCAGTAATAATGAAAAACTGAATTTAGACAAGCAATCAATAAAAGCAATTCATTACTAGAAAGGGCAGTGAAACTATGTAAGAGCCTCTGGGTGTCCACACCTGAATCTATGTCCACACAGAAAGCTTTGGGACATCTTTGTCATAATCTGTGTCCTTACAAAGGTACAAAACGAATGGGTATTGTAGTGGTGCAGAAGCAAAACACAAAGGCTGTGCCAGGTGTGTGTTTAGTGGAGAATAACCTATTGATGGGGCATTCCATGGGACAAGTACGAAGATTCATTTCGGCGGCCACAGATGCAAAGGGTTCCCGTTTGTCTACAACCCATTCCAACCAACCTGGAAATTCTGTTGTTTCATTTCAGGCTGTGGCTTCTCATGCAAAGAAGGTGAATGCTCTAGAGGTGAAAACTAGTGTCCTGGACAAGAACAAAACGGGAAGGCATTTAACAGTGCAGTGTCCGCCCCACTCCCTCCAAAGTCCTGTCAATGCATTACAAGATAATAATAATAATAATAATAATAATAATAAACAACTTTATTTATATCCCGCCCTCCCCAGCCGAAGCCAGGCTCAGGGCAGCTAACCAATAAAATAATACAACATTCTAAAATCATTTCATTATAAAATTAATTCAAATCAAATTGATGGCAACCATTGGGCTAGAGTTCAGTGAAGATTGCCGAGGGAGGGAGTCAGGCTGTGCCCTGGCCAAAGGCCTGGTGGAACAGCTCCATCTTGCAGGCCCTGCAGAAAGATGTCAAGTTCCACAGGGCCCTAGTCTCTTGTGATGTTGATTCAGGTGTGTGCTCTCTAGTCAAAAAATCTGTAGTGGAATTTGTATTCAGTAACAGACATTCAGGTTTTTATGCTTCTTCTCTATCAGTTTCATTCATAGGTAAAAACACTGTTGCCTTAAGGAGCAATCCTATTGTTTTATTATTTTCTTGCCCTGGGCAACCCAAAGGGACTTAACAACCAGACAGTAAACCTTACATAGATGCTTTACAACCCAGAGGAAAGAGAACTACATTAAAAACATCCCAACCATTTCTAAAAGGCCACAGATAGTTAAAGGTCAAAGGCCTGGTAATAGAGGAAAATGTTTTGCCTGCCACCTAAAAATACATATTTATGGCCTAGGAAGCCTGTTGTATGCTGGGTACCAGTCTCTGCATCAGAAGGACCATGTCACAAAATGCAGGTGGTACATCAGTGTTACAGGAAGATGCATTGGTGCAGATGTTTTAAGCATGGTAACAAAGAAGGTAAGGTGTTCTGCGTGAAGAAAGTTATCTGAACCATCTTCCTCGTCTTTTGCTGTGATCTATGTGCATGCATGTTTTTGCCACCAGAGGGCAGTGTGGTTCAAACAATAAGCGGACAGCCGCCTAGGGTTGGCAAAAGTGGGCATTGTGGCACTTTGTGGTATGGAGAGGTGCAAGTTTCAACACAAGCCCGTGACAAGTATAAAATATGAAAACCCATTAATTTAAATAGATATTTCTCGGGAGTATGCAAAGCCTCAAAGCAAATGTACCAAAAGAGACGTGGTTTGGTTTGCTGTAACACATCATTTCCTGAGATTTCAGAAGCCCAGCAGATGGGGGAGCTGATATTCCACTGTACCTCCCTATGCCATTTCTAATAATTGCATTGGGCCAGAAGACTTAGCTGGTGCTAAGCAGGTCTGGGCCCATAAGTTGCCTCATTGGGAGACTGTCTGAGAAGGCAGCAGGAGCTGCTTTGAACTCTTCTAAGGAAGGGGGTGGTATTTGTGTGACGGATTAATGTATCAAGGAAGGACAGATGAACTTGAGTTAAATGGGTTAGGAGCACTGGAAGATGCCTCAGGCTCAATTAGGCTATAGTTCTCATTCCACTCTATTGTCCTCACCTGGGGTTGTCAACCTTTTTATACCTACCGCCCACTAATGCATCTTTCTTGATGGTAAAATTTCCTTACCGCCAACCAGTGCTCAATGGAAGGAGGATTCAGCTTGTACCATAGAACCCCCTACTGCCCACCTAGAACCCTGAAACACCCACTAGTGGGCGGTAGAGACCAGGTCTATACTGCAGTCATCTCCTATGCAGGGATATGTTCCCGGGTACTGCACGTATACGTGAACTCATGTATAGTTGGGAACACCATCTAAAAAGCTTTTGAACCCTCTCTAAACTTCTGGAAACCACATCCTCAAAAATCTGCCAAACTCCACCACAATCACTCCCTGAAAACCTACTTTCTCAAACTCACACGGGCCTCGAAGGTCGGTGCAAAAGCTCCTGGGATTGTTCCTGCTCTCTTTGCACCATTTTTGCAATTTTCCTGCTCTTTTTTTGGGTCATTTTGGCCCTTTCCTTGCCTTTTTAAAAAATTGTTTTATTTAATTATTTGCTGGCACTGCACGTATACAGGGTCCCATGGAGTCAAATGCTTGTAAGAGCGGGGACGCCTGTGTTGTGACTGCCAGCAACTGATTTCAGGATTTCAGATAGGGGGCATTTCTGACCGTACCTAGAGATGCTGGGGACTGAGCCTGAGGCCTTCTGCGTAAATGCATGTGTTCTCCCACTGAACTACAGGCCTTCGGTTACCTTCTAAAAGATACGGCCCCTTGTTGGGGATAGGATTGCACCAACCAGGGCTGAAAAGAAGCTCACCTGAATGGGAATTGTATGACAGGTGAGGTCCCTCTTTTCCTGGTCCTCCAGATGTTGTTGGACTACAACTCCCATCATCCCTGACTACTGGCTATGTCCGCTGGGGCTGATGGGAGCTGAGAGTCCAGCAACACTTGGGCCACAGGTTCCCCATCCCTGCCTTAAAGCAACCTGATGACAGATGTCACTATACCAGGCTTCCGACGGTCTTAGACTACAGTGAGACAAGGTTCCATTTTGGCCAGATTGAGGCAGCCCCATAAACAAAGGGAAAGGGCCTCTGTGGCTCCTGGGCACGTTTCACCCAGTATGAAGTTATGTAAGAGGCTTTCTAGATAAAAAGAAAATGAGGAAATAAAACATTCCTTCATTACCGCATGTTGTTCCCCACAGAGTCAAATGATCCATCACATTGTGCTGAATCATGCCAGCCAGCCTTGTATTGGAACATGTCAAGAGGAGATATGATGGAGAAAGAGGAGGAGAAAGAGGAAGAGGAATTCAAAATCATATTTGGTTTCTGGGCAATGCAAAGGCTCATATTTAAATGCACGCTATTGCCACTTTTCATTTCAGTTGTGTTCCTTGTTGTGCTAATATCAGTGAATTTTCTTTATGTTCCTTCCAGAATTGCAAACTTCTTTTCAAACTACACTCGCACAAATGCTGCAAATTGCTCTGTATGTGATGGTTTTGTGCGGTCCTCCCTCTTTCGATGGCAGTGTGTATGTAATGAAATTGGGGTTAGATGACTTAGGTTTCTGGGGTCCCTTCTAATCCTGTCATTTTTACCTCTGCAAAATAGGAATCTGCAGAAAAAGGGGACTGCTGACATAGCTGGACCCAGCTGTTTTGTTAAGTAAACAGCCCTGCACAGCTTATCTGCTTTGTTAAAGGGAAAGGGACCCCAGACTGTTAAGTCCAGTCGCAGATGAGACTGGGGTTGCGGCGCTCATCTTGCTTTATTGGCCGAGGGAGCCGGCGTACAGCTTCTGGGTCATGTGGCCAGCATGACTAAGCCACTTCTGGCGAACCAGAGCAGCGCACGGAAACGCCATTTACCTTCCCGCCGGAGTGGTGCTTATTTATCTACTTGCACTTTGACATGCTTTCGAACTGCTAGGTTGGCAGGAGCAGGGGCCGAGCAACGGGAGCTCACCCCGTTGTGGGGATTCGAACTGCCGACCTTCTGATCAGCAAGCCCTAGGCTCTGTGGTTTAGACCACAGCGCCACCCGCGTCCCACATCTGTTTTGTTATGTAAGCTTAAATCAAAGTGTAGCCATACAGGAAATAAATTGCTGAAGACACTTGCCCAAGGTGATCTGAAGGGGTTGTTGCCAGGATGAAATGAGGGGGAGAACTGTGTACATCACTCTTTGGAGGAATGGTGGGATACAAATGTAATATATTTTATTAAAAAGGTATTGAATTCTGCTTGGAAATGGATCTGGTAGCCTTTCCAGTCACTGCCATTAGCCACCTGGTCAAAAAGTTATTTTTTCTCTCTTTTTAACTTTGATAGAGTTGGAAGGGACCCTGAGGATCATCTAGTCCAACCCCCTGCAATGCAGGAATGTGCAGCTCCCCCATATGGGGATCGAACCTGCAACCTTGCCGTTATCAGCACCACATGCTAACCAGCTGAGCTATAATGAGCATGATAGTGTTGCCATGTAGATGAGTGCTATAGTGCTGTTATGCCACTAATATTTTTGTTTGTTTATTAAAACACTACAGCTGGAAAAGCACTGGGGCATTAATTAATTAAAAGACTGGCATAAACAAACAACCAAACAGTCTGATAAAGTGGTGTCCACCTCAAAGGTTATCATGAAGGTGTGCTGAGCTTGAAATGGCTGCATGGGTGAACTAGACCTTCCTTGCCTACAGCTATTTATTTATTATAATTTCTTACCCGACTTTCCTCATGAGGTTGTAGGGCTGGTTACAATGGCACAGCATACAGACCAATGGTTCCCAAAGTGGGTGCTACTGCCCCCTGGGGGCCAGTGGGGTTACCCAGGAGGATGCTGGAAGTATAAAGGACTATCCAACTTTGAAAAGCTGGTATCGCTGGATCCAGTTCACCAGCTTTGTTGAATTAATGAAACTAAATGGTTTTGACTGGATTTTTGCACTTAATTCTTCCTGTTACGAATTTTATTGTGTTATTATCTTTAGCGGGTTGTGCAAACAGCTATTGTGAATCATGTTTTTTTATAGGTTAGGGGGCACTGAGGATGAGTTCATGGAACCAAGGGAACCAACACATTTCCAAATGGAACAGAACAGTATAAATTCAGGGGGTCACATAAAACAAAACTGTCCTGCCCCTTGGTGTGGATTGAATGTAGCGAGATGAATATACCCTCTACATCATGGGTAGGCAAACGAAGGCCCCGGGGCCAGATCCAGCCCAATCGCCTTCTATTTTTTTTAAAAAATGATATTTATTAAAGTTTCAAAAAATACAAAAAATACAGAATACAAAAAAAAGAGTAAAGTTTTTAAAATATAACAAAAAAGTAAAAAATAAAAAAGAAACATACAAAATAAAACAGTTAAAAAGACATTGATTTTCCAAACCTATCTTCCCTACACTTATTTCCCCGGACCTCCTCATACCTCCCTTTTTTGTATTCCAGTTCAGTTTGTTAGTTCAGCAAATCCTTACCATTAAACTTTTACCCAATTGTAAACCTTTTTTCGTATCTCTTAAAGCATTACAGCTAAAAACCTCTTAGTTTCTATCCAACATCCTTCTAAAATTCCTTAATTTTGCAATATTTCTGTAAATAGTCTTTAAATTTCTTCCAGTCTTCTTTCACCGACTCTTCTCCCTGGTCTCGGATTCTGCCAGTCATTTCCGCCAATTCCATGTAGTCCATCACCTTCATCTGCCATTCTTCCAAAGTAGGTAGATCTTGTGTCTTCCAATACTTTGCGATGAGTATTCTTGCTGCTGTTGTAGCATACATAAAAAAGGTTCTGTCCTTCTTTGGCACCAATTGGCCGACAATGCCCAGAAGAAAGGCCTCTGGTTTCTTCAGAAAGGTATATTTAAATACCTTTTTCAGTTCATTATATATCATTTCCCAGAAAGCCTTGATCTTTGGGCACGTCCACCAAAGGTGAAAGAATGTACCTTCAGTTTCTTTACATTTCCAACATTTATTATCGGGCAAATGATAAATTTTTGCAAGCTTGACTGGGGTCATGTACCACCTGTATATCATTTTCATAATATTCTCTCTTAAGGCGTTACATGCCGTAAACTTCATACCTGTGGTCCATAACTGTTCCCAGTCAGCAAACATAATATTATGTCCAACATCTTGTGCCCATTTAATCATAGCAGATTTCACCGTTTCATCTTGAGTATTCCATTTCAACAGCAAGTTATACATTCTTGACAGATTTTTAGTTTTGGGTTCTAGCAATTCTGTTTCTAATTTTGACTTTTCCACCTGGAAGCCAATTTTCTTATCCAAATTATATGCCTCCATTATCTGATAATAATGAAGCCAATCTCTCACTTTATTTTTTAGTTTCTCGAAACTCTGCAATTTCAATTTGTCTCCTTCTTGTTCCAAAATTTCCCAATATTTCGGCCATTTGGCCTCCATATTGAGCCTTTTCAGAACTTTTGCTTCCATTGGTGATAGCCACCTTGGGGTTTTATTTTCCAGTAAATCTTTATATCTTATCCAAACATTAAACAGTGCTTTCCTAACAATATGGTTTTTAAATGCTTTGTGTGCTTTGACCTTATCATACCATAAGTATGCATGCCATCCAAATACATTGTTAAAACCTTCTAAATCCAAAATGTCTGTGTTTTCAAGAAGTAGCCATTCTTTCAGCCAGCAAAAAGCTGCTGATTCATAGTAAAGTTTAAGTCTGGCAGGGCAAATCCACCTCTTTCCTTGGCATCAGTTAATATCTTAAATTTTATTCTGGGCTTCTTGCCCTGCCAGACAAATCTAGAAATATCTCTCTGCCACTTCTTGAAACAGCCCATCTTATCCACAATTTGTAGTGTCTGAAACAAAAACAACATTCTAGGCAATACATTCATCTTTATCACAGCAATACGGCCCAGCAGTGAGAGTTTCAAATTTGACCAGATTTCTAAATCTTTTTTCACATCATTCCAACATTTTTCATAATTATCTTTAAATAAGTTCCCATTTTTGGCTGTCATATTAATCCCCAAGTATTTCACTTTCTTTACCACAATCAATCCTGTCTCATTCTGAAACCTTTCTCTTTCAATCGGTGTTAAATTTTTCTCTAAAACCTTAGTTTTTAGCTTGTTCAACCCAATCGCCTTCTAAATCTAGCCCACGGACGGTCTAGGAATCAGCATGCTCTTACATGAGTATAATGTGTCCTTTTATTTGAAATGCATCTCTGGGTTATTTGTGGGGGACAGGAATTTGTTCATTCCCCCCAAAAAATATATAGTCCGGCCCCCCACAAGGTCTAAGGGACAGTGGACCGGCCCCCTGCTGAAAAGGTTTCTTGACCCCTGCTCTACATTGTGGGAAAGCAATTCCGCTTACAGCTAACAGCTAAAGAGCACCGTTAGTAGTAGTCGCCCATCTGGAAACAGCCTATTTTTTTTTAATCATGCTTCCCCCCCTTGCAATTTGTTGTTGCAGAGAGGGTGTGTTTGTGCCCTGTGTTTTCAACTCTCCCTTTACTGCCCTTGGGGCGAGATTCTTTTGTGAGTGCTGACAGCTTCTTGCAAGCCTCACCTTTCAAGTCCACCTTCCTTGCTGCTTAAACATTAATGAACAGGAGCAGGTGAAACTTTAAGAGACGCATCATCTATGATGCAAATTCTGAAACACCAGGGATGAGTGGCCAAGTTTCCTTTCTTCTGAAATGCTGCAATGTGTGTGAAACGTGCTACAGTGAAATACTTAGGCTGAAGCAAAAGGCGGGCAATAGGAATACTGTGCTGAGTCATTCAATGGGGATTTCCCAGGTGTAGTGTGTGTGTGTGTGTGTGTGTGTGAGAGAGAGAGAGAGAGAGAGAGAGAGAGAGAAACACTCTGCAAAATGCACAAAGGATAAAACAGTTTACACCAATTTCATCATCTATAATGGTATCCTTTTATTCTTCTCTATGACTGAAAATAACAAAGATTTGAAGAATGCCTAGCCCTGCAAATATCAGTTTGCACAGAAAGCTCATAGAGTGGTACCTCAGGTTAAGTACTTAATTTGTTCTGGAGGTCCGTTCTTAACCTGAAACTGTTCTTAACCTGAAGCACCACTTTAGCTAATGGGACCTCCTGCTGCTGCCGCGCTGCTGGAGCCCGATTTCTGTTCTTATCCTGAAGCAAAGTTCTTAACCTGAAGCACTATTTCTGGGTTAGCGGAGTCTGTAACCTGAAGCGTATGTAACCTGAAGTGTATGTAACCTGAGGTACCACTGTATTCCCAGGAATGGCAACATTATGGATGGAAGAATCTTGTCAGTTTTGCTTCTCTCCATATCTCATTTTTTCAGTCTTTTAAGTTCAGTTCTCCACTTTCCCTTCGGTGATTTTCATTTAAAACAAAAAACTGTATAGGCCTGGAGGGCAGTCGCGCAATGCCCCTCTTCTTGTCACCCTAAAGCAGAGCTTTCCAAATTGTGTGCCACGATACCTTAGTGTGTCGCACAAACGCTCCCCGCATCCCTCCTGGAGATGGAAAGGGATTAGTTTAAGCTGTGGTTTGCTAGTGAAACCAAATTACTTGGGCGCAAAATGGTGCATGTCTAAGAGGTGTGTCACCAACATGAAAAGTTTGGAAAGCTCTGCCCTAAACAGTCTGCTGTTGCAAAGATAGCTTTTGGGAAGGGTTGGAGCTTTGCAGAGTGGAAATGGCTCTTTGCCCAGAGATAACCCAACTCTCCAGTTCCACTTCCCTAGACTATGTTTGCTGTTATCAAGGCTTCTGAATAATTGGTACTTCCACCTAATGCCCACGATGCAAAGCACATTCCAGTCACCCTTACAAAACACTTCTGTAGCAATAACACTTATGGAAGGAGCAGGATTCCTATGAATCATTGGCTGTGGAGGAACCACACATTTAAAGCACATTTCCTTTCCCCACCTCCCCAAAAAGAATCGTGGGTACTGAGAACTGTGAGGGGTAAACTACAGTTCCTATCAATCTGGGTTTGCTTTAGATCTTTTAAATGTATGGTGTATACACAGCCCCCTTTTAGACACCCTTTTCCCCTTTATTAAAGAAAGACATATTTTAAATGTGCTTATGGAGGGGTTATTGTTTTGCTTTTTTCTGTTTTAACTATTTATTTGTGCATTTGTCTCGTGTTTTCATGTTGTGAACCACCCTGCGATCTTTTGATGAAAGGCGGTATATAAATCCAGTGCTTTTTTTTTCTGGGAAGATGCAGGGGGACGCTTACCCCTAAACATTTTGTGAATCTAATGGGGAGAAGAAACTAAAAATATTTTTTAAATTAGCAGTGAATTGTCAGTTCCACCGCTACCCGCCCCCCGATGGCAGCCTCATTTTCTGTCACAGTGTTTCCTGAGTCTCAGACGGAAGCGAGCACTTAACGTGTGAAGTAGGAGTTGGAATATAGCATGGTGATTGGTCAGTTTCATTGTTACCACCTCCAATGGCAGCTTCATTTCCTTTCCCGGTGTAATGAATTTTCCTTGTACGTTTGTCCATTTACTGTATTTATTTTTTCTGATTTGGAACTATAAAATGGTGATTTTCTTGAGTCAAAATGAGAGTACCCCAAAACATTTTTAAAAGAAAAAAAAGCACTGTATAAATCTAATAAATAACAACAACATTTATGCAGGAATAAACCCCACATTGAACTCAGCGGGGCTTGCTTCAAAAGAGATACACGTGCAATTGCATTTTTACAAGAGCTGAACTTTGATTGAAAATGCCCTCTGTGTAATTATTGTAGCTGTTTATTAGGAAAAGAGAAGAGGAAAGGGCAAAGGAAGAGGGAACAGGCTATTCTTTTAACTTCTGAACATTTCAGGCCCTGCCTTCCTTTAGAAGAACTGTGTGGGTTGTCTTCTTCCTTTAAGTTCACAATTTCTTAAGGGCTGTGTTGACAGTTTTTGTGCCTATG